TTTCTTATCCCGTTTAGAACATTGCGACAAAGTCTACCTTAGCTGGACACGGCCTTTTTACGTGGTCTATTTCAGTTGTCCTTCTCACTGATAAATTCTAAGCCTGACGTTGAGAAAGGACTTCTGGAATGGTCAGCTAGCACTACTGGTCTTATTGTTCAAGTGATCAAAACTCAGATTGCTCGCGACGCCCGTTGAGTATGTGGGACCTAAAGTTAAGCTCTTCTAACGCTTTCCTAAAATATTATCATCGTAGTGTTGAAATCGCCAATGATGACCAAGTGTGTTCTTCCTTGCAGAATCTCCGCAAATCCATGTACGACCTTGCGTTCGCCACAGGTTTATGGTGGGGCGTGGGTGACGAGTAATGTCAAATTATTGTCCTGCATTGTTCTACTAATATCATAAACGTCCACTTCGGGTCGTCAGTTGCTGAAAGGAATCGGTGTTCATGACGAGGCTCGCGTTCATGGGAACATCATTGCCGTCGATTCCTCTGCTACCGTATGTTGTGAGTAGAATTTGTACAACATCATAAACAGAAACTTACACATAAAAATGTAGAAGATACGCACTTTCGATGCTATGTAATAAGGACCTCTAACTGATTCTTTTGGGGAGGTACTGATACAGAGGATTATTGGTATCTGCCATAACAGTTGAACATACTAACCGGTAGCTCAATATGCTTATGCGGTGTGGACGTAGAGTTTATATACATACGTACATACGTATATATACTTTTTTCTACTCATTCTCCCCAGAAAAGTTCACACGGTGTAAGTAATGGAATGTATCCGTGTCATGTAAGACTGAGGAAATTTGTGTCGTCGTGCACTGGCTTTTAAGCTAAGTTAATTCATTTTACCATATGGTTGTGCTCTACTGCTTCCATGAAAGCATTATCACATATGGTCACATTTTATTTGCTGCCTGTTCTTTTTTTATGGCAGAGTACGGATGTGAATTATAACCACAATGATGCTGAGATATTTGCAAAACTCCGGAACGCAGGTGTCTGCGGTGGACAGGTCTAGCTGAGAAACAGACGAAACGAAGGACCTGCACGGTGTGGTGGTGAACGCGTTATCCCCCGGAAAGGGTAATAGCGCGTTCGTTTCTCTTAATTGTTTAACTAAATTATTGTTTTTTTCGAATAGTGACGTAAAAATTCAGGTTTTGCTTCGTATCCGATGATATCTGATAGGTATAATTAGTTAGTATCTGTTTTTCAACTGGGGTTTCCAGAACGTTCATCAAAAAATGTTTCCTGCAAAAAATTCATCTAAAACGTGACTTCGTCGACTTTCATTGGTATTTTTGATGAAAAAATCGAATGTGACTTCCTATTCATTAGTTTTAAATAATAGTAAGGAACTTGTTAGAGCCCAGTCCACACACTACCTGTATCACCTGTGTCACCTATCATCCCTTTAATAAACTCTAAAGGCATAGACGGCGTTGAATGAACGACGTATTCTCGAATCAGCCAATCCGATGACATCCTAACCTTCTCCTTCCTGCTTGCATGACCAAGTCTTCTATCGAGGGCTCAGGTGTAGGTGTGCGTGCACTGTAGGTACGGGTCGTCACCTTAGCCCTTTGTGATTTAGAAAACCCAGAGTGGCCTTGAGATTTTAAGCATTATCACATATGGTCACATTTTATTTGCTGCCTGTTCTTTTTTTATGGCAGAGTACGGATGTGAATTATAACCACAATGATGCTGAGATATTTGCAAAACTCCGGAACGCAGGTGCCTGCGATGGGGGTGGAACCTGTTATTACCGTTTCCGGGGGCTAACGTGTTCACCACCACGCCATGAGGCTCTTTTCTTTTTGCTTTCTCTCAGCCGTGCATAACCACGTACATTTTATGCAAACAATGGACGCACTTACTTTCACATAAGCGTTTTCCATCTCTTTATTGACTTGATCCAACTTAATTTCCAAATCCATTAATCGTTCGCGCACCTTTCTGTTTTCTTCAAGGCGTTTCTGTAATGAAAACAGTTGCTAACACTACTTCTATCCGATTTTCATTGCTGCGTTTGCCACTTATATTTAGGAGTAATTTGAGTCCGCGACGCCTCAGTCAGCATGAAATGGAGCAAGCAATTCTAAATCATTCCTACTATTACGCATCAAACAAGAAGCGTATAGAAGTAGAGTCACTCATTTCCCACCTCCATGGCATTAATTGCACCCCTTGCTCGTTCCAGTCGTGTCGGTTTTTGATGTACTGCTTGTTGTTTTGGCTCATCCTAGAATTTCCAACGACAGTTCATAAATGGTAATTAAGTCAAAATTCCCATCTAGAAATCCTCCATCTGTAACTTGCATAAGTGCAACTGAAATTTTATTAACTGTGTATGAATTAAAGATATTTGTATTTTTGCATTTGTATTTTGTATCAGCTGTATTTGAATCTTCGTAGGCTTGAAAGGAAAACCAGCATCACATTTGATTTTAAACAGCCATAGTGAATATTCACTCCAATACTAAACTCCAGTAAAAGGCTCATAAAGGATAAGGAATGAAGGCTGTCGACGTTGATCAATCCCTGTGGGATCCATTGAGCTCCACTCGACTTCATTTCGCATCGTTAGAGGTGATTGAATCGATATGTCGCTAATACAGTGACTCTAGGTGGCCTATCGATGTATCGAGCCAGTGCTGCTACCCTCCCAGATAGGTCTAGTACCACTTTGCTGATCCCGGAGTGATGAAAGTTTTGGTGCTCCCAGGGCATGGCATCGAGCCTATGTGTATTGCACGACACCTCTAACCACTGCGGTATACCACGGCCTTCAAAGTCTAATTCTTCGGACCTTGTGAAAATATTTTGTATGGGTAGGTGAGTACATTTCTGGGTAGAGCAGGTCAAGTGGCTGTTCATTTTTGAATCAAGCTAAGAATAGTGCTAATTTTGTTCATTGGAGCTCAAACGCACTAATGAACTTTTAGCGATTACCCTTCACAAGAAATAAACTAGCCTTAGACAGTTTCGGTGCACCAGTAGATGTCCAGGTGTGGAAAGACGTGTCTGAGACCGGCGGCAGACTCATTGCCTCAAGTGAAATGAGACCTTCTAATGCCTTCACATGTCACAAGTGTTATTTGTTGCTTCCTTTGGATGAATTATTCTTATAGCTACCACGTCTTATTGCGGTCGAGTTGTTATGAAGACATAATGGTGCATGTTTAATCGCATAATAGTTAGCATATTTGATCATTTGAATAGCAAAGATGGTTCTCTGCAATCAGTCTGGTAAAAGAGGGATCTCTGGAACGCGCCTATCACACGAATTAGAGTTGACCTCTGCGAAGTTATAATATTGAGAAAATGACACAGCGCAGTGGTAACAACCAGTTATCTACTTCACTATCAAATCTTTTATTCATTCTTTTGAATGTTTGTTTGTTTTATTTTACATGACCCCATATCACATATTATGTGAATTCTAACACTTCTTCCATTAAATGTGTTTACATGTATCCATATCCACGAACGTCGCCTGTTATTTGCGTATGGATTCTTTATGTTTTTGATCTCTTTATGAATGTCCTTGAATAGAGGGTTGCGTCGATCACCCTTGGTTTCCTGGGATAACCCTGCTAGGGCGTTACCATGTAGATTGGAATACGATAATCCCAGATAAGTTTGGCATCAATCCCCCAATCTCGGAGATGTGAGACGTTGATTGGCTAGTGGAGGGTCGAACCAGGTCCTTGGGCGTATTAAACGGCACTGGTAGCACTGTGCCACCTTTGCCTAAACTTATGGGATTTCCGTTCGGAAATTGTTAGGATTTCTACTAAACCATGCTCATTATATAACAAAACAGGGAGCGGATAGCACAGTGATAGTGATGTCCGTCACCACGAGCATGGTGCTAGTTCGGTTCCGCACTGGGCCAACAGAGCTTGTCATCCCTCCGGGGTCGGGAAATTGGTACCGGAATTATTTGGAAAAAAAATCACTCTCTGTAATCTGATTGGGAACGCTCCAGCCCGACTACCTCAGGACTCTAGGGAGAATTGCTCGACCAGCATTCTAGAAACAAAACAGGACCAGAATTTCATACATAGATACTATCTAGTCTATTTGGCCCAGAAAAAAAGAAAAAGCAAAGTAGACATGCTGCATTTCTACCAGGTACCACTCCTACATGAGCAAATTTCCAACTTGAAATCCGATGAATCAAAACTACATTGTTGTGTCGACATAACAGAAAATAGGAATAGACTTTAGAATGAACTTTATTATATTATGAGAGAGAAAGGCACGAAATATTAGTACGGTAGAACGTGTAAGACATTTGGGAAAGGAAAGATTTAAAAAGAAAATTCGGTGTAACAATAAAAAAAATCTAATGAGAACATATAAACGTAATCCTATGAAGCCCAGAGAAAAGCGGAATGCAGTATTTGAAAACCTCGAAACACCACTGAATACATGCAGATGACTAGGACGAATGAATACATGAGCTCAGGAAACAAATTGATCGCGAGCCCTGTAGCCCATATTAGCGAGCACGAGAGACAACGCAGAAAGCAGAGCATTTACCACTATTGCCCAGTGACTATAAATGCAATGTTTTACACACGAATTGTTGTACGATTAGTACTTAGCAGTTGTAAGCCAAATTAGCTGATGATTGACTAGCTAAAAATAGAAATGTTTCCTACTTGAAAATATACGTGCCCGACTTGACCCCTACCCAAAGTCGACGGTTATCAACCCATATCAAAATCCATGACTAGTTTATACCCATGCGGACTGAGTACGCGGAAACGCTATGTGCTAAGTGGCGGACCTCGTAGCCTTTGCCATGGAACAAAATTTAAGTATCAACATGTTATAACTGTATTAATATGGGCTTCTACAAATCGTATTGGGCTTTTGCTTTATTACAATAACGTCTAGTCCTAAAAAAGAGATAAAGAAACACAGATTGTTGAATCTCTTCAGCCGTGATTCACGATTAGTACAGGTGCTACAGCAGGCGACAGACTTGTTGAAGATGGAGACAGGTCGGAAGTGAAAGTGTCTCTAGTGGAAAATCAGAATGCACGAAGGGTTGACAATTAAGCGGCTGTAGATAAGTACCCATCACAATCAACGTATTCTGGAATTGCACATTTCGTAATTTAACAGCTATTCGCATAGTTTCCAATTATACGAAAACGGTGGATGGAGAAAATAAGATTACTAGATTTGAACACGTTTTCAAGCTTTATACGAGAGAATGAAGACAAATTTACCTGATCTTCGACAGTCTCTCCATTAGCAACAGCACGTTCATTCAATCGTCGCTGCACCATGGCGAGCAGTTCGGCATCAACGTCCCGCTCTTCGAAATCGTCCGATGGTGCGTAGTGTTGTAGAATGGCAACGATCTAAATTTAATCACGAATTACTTCTTGAGACTAATATATATTCCGACAATAGCTTTCTTTATTTACTGCCTATTACAATTTTCATGGTAAGTATTTCGTGAATTACAAGCACGGTGATGTTGAGATACTTGCAAAACTCCGGACCGCAGGTGTCTGCGGTGAGGTTCGAGCACGTTACTACCCTTTCCTGGGTCCAATGCGTTCACTACCACATCATGCGGGTCTTTTGTTTCGCCTTTCTCTCAACTAGTTTTCTACATATTCCGATTTAGAAAAACATTCGGATGTCGATCACATTCATATCTTCAGAAGAGAGCGTTAATTCCAGAGATTCACCCCACCTAGATTTGAGTTTCGTATTTTTTTTTTTGCGTTTAAATCGACTTCAGACTCATCAATACTTTTATATTAGTTTATATTATTAACTATTAAAAAAACAGTACACACCTGTCGAGGCTTCAATTTACTTGTCATTTCTCCACATAGCGTATCAATGTTCGACTCATCTTTTCGACTCTGAAATGGCACGTCTACGACTAACTCTACATCTCAGCGATAACAAAGAAATGATGGAAAGCCAAACTTGTAGTAAATGGCACGCTTGAACAAGTGGATCTAACGCTTCTCGAAATGCTCCGAGACCTTTCGATGATAACCATGACTGAATCTCGGTGACATTATGCCTGAAAATTTTTGTAATGAAGCGATGACAACACTTACTAACGCATAGGTTAGTAACTTAGTAGTCCAAGGTGCCCTTGATAGCCCACCAAACCATTTTAGTCTTATAAGCTACCATAAGATTATTATCATCGTAAGATTATCGTAAGCCGCTCACACAACTATCATCTATGTTGAACCTGTCAATCTATACAGAAAGGAGACACAATGCCTTAAAACATATGAAACACTGCGTCTCAACATTGTTACAGTTCTTAATCAAGTAAGGTTTAGCACGATTTTCTCCATTTTTCCCTGTTTTCTCCTATGAACATGTGACTTTTTCTCAGGTAATTCTATTGACACTGATGAGCAAAAAGAGAACATAAAGTACTACTTGGATAGAAGTTGAAATACAGATTTATTGATCAAGACAAAACAGGTAGTCAAACATGTGTCAAAACTCCTAGCTCCCAAATTCAAACTCCAACCATTGCAGCTCATAATGAACCTTAAAGAATAACATTAACGCAGAGTGAAACTATTTACGACAACACTTTACGCTGATTTCAGGAAACTGCGACAAGGACCGGGACGTTATTCCCACGTAGCATTAGCGCTTACGCTTCTATAGTGTTCCTTTTTGTAATTTAAAATATGGTATAGTGATAAAGATGTCGCAAGAGGGGCATGAAACCCTTGGCTAAGACTAAACGTGGTTTGACTATAGAAGGTGCTTAGACGACGATGTCTGCGATGATCTCACGAATTTGTCTGTTAAAAAATTGTGGGTAAATTTGTGAAGTTCTACTTCTTCCTTTACCGCAGAAAGCAGTTATTTCTGGCTTGTCAAACTATGAGCTCTGATTAGTGGAATAACTTATGAAATCCCATCATACGGAGATATATTCCACTACACTTACAAGCTAGTTTATCATCTTGGAGAACGCTCAACTGCTCATGAAACGTTTCCGTTCTCGCGGCCGGATCAACTTGAAGCCACACGTTTCAAACAAACTAGTCCACCGAGAAACACAAAGAATACATGAGCACGTCGAGAAGAAATGAATATTGGCCTATCCATTTGTTGTAATATGATTTATGCAAAAAGTCATGAATGATAAGAGGCGTCTTTATCCCATAAACGAAGCGCACCGCATATTGTGACCTTCCGAGAGGAATACGAGCAATTTTTTCGTAGGTTGAGGACATTCTGGTTTTTCGATAATAAAAACTAGTTTTTTCAGGAAATAGAGTGCTTTAAGTGCTGTGAACATAATGGTATCGTAAAACAAACTTCGCTCTATCACTCTGTGAGCACAGATGATATCTACGCTACTATTCACCATGCGTTATTATGATCCGTTATGAAAATACATTGCTGCCAGCGCTTAGAAGTACCTTCAGAAACCAATGTTGAACCCATTTCGGTGTTTTCTTTTACATGTGCATACTTCCAAAAATGGTCATAGTGATTAAAATGAAGTATCGGTCAGTAAATCTTTTCGAAAAAAATTTTTTTTGTAAGTTATTAAGCGTTGAGAATGGTTTCTCTAGTCTCACCCTTACTGTTTCGATCTGCTTTCGATTAGCTATCGAATGAATATACATAGGACGTAATGGATTTCCAGAAGGCAGTAAGCCGAAAATGGGCACTATAGGGTCCACACCGCACACTGGTCCAAACGCGTCTTAACACTATGGTGTCCACACCGACCGTAATGCGCTATGGATAACTGGCACTCGAGAAAAAACCTTTTGAGAAGAAAAACTCCATGTGCATGAAACCTTACTGGGAAGAACTAAAAAACGCTTGAAAATGATCACTTATCCATGAAAATTAGGGATGATGGAAAAATATATGTAGAACCAATACATCTAGAAAACAAGTAAAACACGCCGTCAAAAAGTATTAGCGTTTGTAACTGCTTGTTAAGTGCGGGAAACACAGTGGTTAAACACAGCGTGCAATACAGGCATAGTCGCTGGTTTGACCGCATCCTGGGCCAGCCAAGTCTATCACTTGCGGGTCGGCAAATTTGAACTACATTATCGTGAGAAATTTTCTTCACACAGACTCGTCATGATCTATGGTAAAGATCTTGGAACGTTCTAGTAAAACTGCCCCAGCACTTTCAGAAGAATCAACTCGGCAAGCAATTCAACGACATCCATAATGAACATTAAGTCAATTAGCAGATAAACCTCTATGCAAATCAAGGAAGTTTCGTAGGTTAACGTTGCAGGACAACGAACGGGTTCAAAAAGAAGTGTGGAGATCCACACAATAGATAATTGGAGATATACGAACAAACAAATAAATAAATGGAACTGCTCATTTCACACTGATCAGTAACCCATCACTTCTAAAATCGCATTCGTAAATTGCATTGCGTGGTGTACTGTCTTTTTTCAAAAAGAATCGTATTACATGTTTCAGTCGAGTTGCTGTAATAAAATTTTCTGATACTGCATACTGCAAGAGAATGATTCTGAAGAAAAAGTAGAGGCATGGGCACGGGGATCGATTCCACGTGTGCGTCGCAGTGGCGCCTCCAACCACTGCGCCACACGCGCCCTTTTTTGCTTAGTAATCATAGAAATAACTGCAGTATTTGGCTCTTTGACTATAACCATAGCTTGTACTCTATGAATTAGCACAAAAACGAAAGGAATATTGAGCGAAATCTGCACTACAAAACACGACTATAAAAACGTGCAAAACATAAAGACAAGGGATTTTAGTTAAAACAAAAATTCTTAGTTCTTTTTCATAAGATTCATAGTCCTAAAGGATACGAAAACAACGTTCTTCTATGTGGCAGTTCGTACATATGTCATGCAGAAAATAGCGACGAAAGTTGCTGCAACTACAGAAGGTGGAAGGAACATCAAAAACCAGCAATGCAACCTGTGCGAGCATCAAATATGGTTCACAAACAAGGGACCTGCACCGGTTGAAGATCGACGTTATCCAAAGCCTTATAAAGAAAGTGATGATGTGAGGAAATTCAAACTGTCGAGTGGCAAGCACTTTTCATTCAACTGACAAGCACTCGTTAAGTGAAGTATGTGGGAGGTTTAGTGGTGACAACAATTAGGTTAGAAGGTATGAAAAATTGGATTTCTAAAAAATTTTCTCTAAGTGATTTGAAAGAATTGGCATCTTATTTTGTTTCTATACCCTATTCATCCATGTGGAACTTTTCCTAGACAAGTGAAGCTCAAGCGACTGATACCGGAAAGCTACCAGCAGGTCTTCGAAAACTCAAAAATTCATATGAATGTTTCTAAATAAGTGCCACAGTAAAGATTCCACCTATTTATGTGGGTAGAATTAAGTGTATAGATGTAGATTCTGTTTATCCACATAGATGAGATCTAATTTCGGAAACGATATGCCGATAATGACGAACCTTCATACCGGACAACCTATTAATATTAACGAAATTTACAATACTCTTTAAAGAAAACCATTATATAAGAGCAAAATCGAAGATTTTAAATATTACAAGAAGGCCGTGGAAAAGAGAGAACAGCAGGATTTCAGGATCAAATGCCTAATGTTCTATTAATCGTAGAATCAAACAAATATTCGCTTTGTAGCCATTCCGAGAAAGAAAAATGTAGAACTTTTGAAAAAGTGGATTTTCGTACCAATTCAACAAGATACCGATGACTAATCACTTCTCGTTGACCATCTATATGATATCAGAGTTAGTAAAATAATTAAAGGATGAAAACATACTTAATTTGAACAGCCTTTTCGAAATTACACAATTCCTTTCTGAACATTAAATGGTTGAGTGCCAGCGCACAGATCCAATTAGTAATTTGTCCAAAAACTTGACCAAGCAGCAACTGATCTGCACCGTAGACCGTCAACTTCGCGTGAACGAAGTTCAGCTGGAAATGATATGGAATTGAATTCTACAGACAAATACGTTAAAGGAGAAGACTTCTTTGAAATCATAGAAGACAAAACTAAAGTCGTTCGCTCTTTTCAAACTGGTCAGACACTCGTCCTTATAGTGCAATATGAAATCCTCTTTTGGGGATAAAATCTCGAGCTAACACGACTGGTATATTCGTTTTATAGTGTTTGAATTTGAATTCAAAACATCTTTTGAATGAGGCAGCATAACGATTATGAAAGGCTTTTCGTATGCATTCCATAAATCTTATGGCACACGAATATCGGTTTCATTTAAAGGACGGAAGAGAGCAATTAAAAAAGGCCAAAAGAAACCCACAAAATCGACTAAGTCATCCAGTCCCCTTTTAGAGGCTCCACGGCTCGTCTCACGACTGGTCTGCTGACCTCCAGCCACTCCGCCCATTACATCACTGGCAGTTTCGTGCTGGAGTATTCCGGGCACTGAAGAACGAATTTCAGTACTTTCCAGATGTGGTGTTCCCTACTCAAGTTCAAGGACTTGCTAAGTTTAGATTACGAATACAATTCTCTATTAATCCACTCTCTCACTCATGCAAGTAAACTCAGTTGCGTTGCTATGTAATACGGCCCTAGTTCCCGTATGAAGGATTGAAGGCTAATCAAACGCGACTACGTATTTGCGCCGAAATGCAGATGAATTCGGGAAATGGGTTCCTCCTGTCGTTTAAGATTAACTTATGCTTGCCGTATACTCGTAATAGTACTAAATAAAGCCGGTAAATAGGTGGGTGTATTTGCACAGTATCTGGTTGACTTATTTTCATTTTCTTATTATTATATGACGCAACGGCACAGTTTTCAAACTTTGTAGACCTGAACACTTATTGCATTCGATTCGTTTCCTCAAACCCACCATACACGAAAGCCTTTGAACTTTTTCCCATGTGGCTTCGGCTGTCGTGTGCGAGGATTTTTTGTCTTTGTCACGAATATCGCTGAATGCTGGTCGAGTTGATTCTCCTTTGAACGTTGGGATAACCCAACTAGAGCGTTCCCACGCGAGTAGGAAAAAGTGCACCGTTCCCAGACAATTTTGGCATCAATTTCCTAACCATGGAGGAATGTCGGGATTGGTGAGCTCAGTGCAGTATCGAGAGAAGTCCTTGCTAGGTCAGACCGTCTGTGTAATGAACCGCATCGCTGCCACTATGTTACGCGCTGTTTGATTGTATCATGTGTGGTTCAAAGCTGCAACTTAATGGGCAAGTAAATGTGATGCAGTTAGAAATCGTCTCCAGTATACGTCTACCTACACCACGTCTACTTCCGAATTGTCCGGCAACTACTCGCGACCAAACTGAAACAAATGGTACTGCAAGCCAATTCCCTAATGGTACAGCTCAGCAATCTACGTATCTTTTTAGTGAAGTAGAAAGAAATTAGTCTCAAATACGTAGAAAGTGAAGTTCTTGCGACGGGTGAAATCATTAGATGATTAACATATGACGTCGGTACTCAAATATGGGGGTGTCGCGGGGAACGCCGCCTAATTCCATGTTGATGAAGAACTTAATCACTTTTAGACAACAAACGATAATTGTTCAACAAGTAGAGGAGTTTAAAACACAAGAGGTCTTGTTTCGTCGATTTAGAGGTATTACATGTTTGCTCACTATACTTCATATAGAACACCATCCATCCACATTGCTACCAGTATTTGGCAGTGCTCTGCAGCTTATGTTAAGCCTGTTTCCGCATTTTCTATACGTAAAAAGAATAAAGGATAAAGCTCTTGGCGGTGATCAATCTCTTAGGAATGCGCCATGCATTCGACTTCATTAAGCACCGCTTGGAAGTGACTGAATGCATATCTGGCTTTTACAATGAATGTCGGTAGCCTACCGATGTATCGAGCCAGTACTGCTATCCTCCCAGACAAGTCGGGTACCAACTTGCCGACTCCGGAGAGTTGGAGGGCTTGGTAGGCCACGGGAGCAGGAAGCGATCCCGTTTGTGTAGCAGGGCGCCTCAGACCACTGCGCCACACGTCTTTTTTATACATATTCACTCGAAACGATAACCATCATCCATTATAGTGATTGGAACTAAAATAGCCGTCAAATACCATTTAAATTACCCAAAGAACCTATTTGAAAATAGATTCATTGCAAACTATTAAAGTGCAAAGGACAGGTTTTCACGATCATCGTTTGGCATAACGTTAGGTTAGATAAGCGTCAATCGAGTACGAAAAAGTGCAGTGCGACGCTAGGAAAGCTCCTTGCAGCAAAATGAATCAATGAAAAAGAAAAGTATTGAATGCAATGCACATCGTATACTCGTCCCACCCCCACCTCCACATGCAGAGCATATAATGCATCTTCGGCATTACGTGTTAATGGAAACACAAGTGAATGTAGACTACGATAAATTATTTATTTTAAATTTTAGACAAAATTATTTTTTATTTTACAATTTTATTCCAAATTTTAGACAAAACAAATGATTTAACATAGTCTACATTCACTTGTATTTCAATTAACACACAACGCCGAAGATGCATTGTATGCTCTGAATGCGAGGATAGGGGAGGGCAGTATGCGATGCGCATTGCATTGAGTGCTTTTCTTTTTCACTGATTCATAGATTGGTATCGGACTTGTCTGGAAAAAAGAAATCACTCTCTGCAAAGCAGTTGGGAACGCTCCAGTCCAGCTATATCAGGACTCCAGACAGAATTACTAGACCAGCATTCTACGACACTCAAGACGAAACGGAAATCGTCAAGCAGCAACCGAGCCACACTAAAAACTTTGAAGGTCTTCGTGGACAATGGAATCGAAGGTGAGAACTGCTAGGATCCGCACAGTAGACTACGTTAGATTCTAGTCATAATTATGGATTAGCTCTTAAGGTCAGTATCTACTTCAGATAATATGAAAAGTACGTTTTTTTAATCAGTTGAAACATGATGCATCAGTTCTAGCTAACTCTTTTTCCCATTGGTTTTAAAAGCCAAGTGGACGATAGAATACAAAAATCCAGAAACGAGAAAGAAAGACGAAAAGATAGGCATTTAATAGGCAAAGATAAAGATAAAGATAGGCATAACACTCTCGGAATGATGCTGATTCTCGTATACACCGGAAATTTTTCGTTAAATGGTGTGTGATTGAAACCACAGAAAATCCTGAAGACTTGACTGGCTCATGCGGGCTACTTTTCCCGAAAAAATCATTGTTTAAAATAAATGGATTCGCTCAAAATTTGAACCTTGAAAACCAAAAAGAGGCGAATAAGCCCAAACTCTTATAATTTCTTGCGGAACTTAGCAGCCGGGAACAACACTGAAGCACTCAGGAATATTAGAGAAAGTAGAGCTTGTTAAACCATTCCGCCGGCCTAGGTTGAAGCCTCGATGAAAAAACGATTCTTAGGCCACAGAAACCACAGGTACTCATCAAGTGAATTCCAAAAGTTTTCACTTAAACCAACAAAATTCATGTAAACTAAGGCATCTTTGTCCAAAGTTCAAACCGAATCCTATTTTTGTTCACACATGAGTTCCTTGACAGATTCGGCATTTAACTCTTGAAGAACCTCTGTGTTACAGATAATAAGCTTAGAAAAACCGGTTTCTTGAAGAATTTTCCAAGCCAATAACGGTGCTAAGTACGCAGTTAAAGAATTATGAAAGACAAAATGAAACATAAAATACCAATTTTCGGACTAAGAACTGGCTCGATAGCACGCTTCATTAGGTTCTGGTAGCACTCCTCGACTCGTAACCGCAATTGGTCCCTGATGGGGGTGATGTCGAATGACTGCAGTCGATGCTTGTTCTGCACCACCGTGTTTGCTGCTGTCCATTCCTTTAAAAAACCTTGTTTTTATTTCGCATATTCGTGGATTTAATCTACCGAGAACAAAAATGCACTCAAATTGGCAGAAATCGATAACAGAAATGGGAATTACGAAGAATATGAAATGCCCAAAAACTTGAAGACTGTAAAATTTCTATGCTTAAATCCTATAAATATTCATGAAACTCTGAACATATTATTTTCCACTGGCCGTAAAATCCTTTTTTTAAAGTTGAAAAAGAAAGAAGAGGAAGAAGAAAGGACAGAAAAGAAAGAAAAAAGAGGGGAGGAGAGAAGAAAAGGATGAAGGAAGCAATCATAAAAACAGAACTAATGTCGTATTGATTCCAAAAGAAATTTTATGCAATTCGAGTCACCCAAACCAGCTAAAACAACAAAAAGTCTTACTGGTTCAGCTTTCTCTCCACTGTACTGTCGAAGGAGATTGAATAGACGCCATGTGTTCACCAGCCACAGCGACAGAACATCCAAATCATGTGAACGCTAGAAAACCTCAAATGGGGATTAACGCAAAAAACATGATTTCAATCCACACGCTGCCTAGTTATGGTCCCATATGCAATCATAGAGTAGTATCTACATAACAGTATTAAATAGGCCTTCAGCGGAATCATAGAGTTATAGCAAAAAAGAAAAGCCATTATGCTAACTTTTTATTTACTGCCAACCATAATTTTTCACGGCAGGGTATTATGTGAAATACAACCACCATGGAGCTGAGATGTTTGCAAAAACTCCGGACAGCAGGTGTGTGCAGTGATGATCAAACACGTTATTACCCTTTCCAGAGGCTAACGCCCCAGGCACCGCACCATGCAGGTCCTTCGTTTCGCCTTTTTCTCAGGTAGTTTTCTATCTACCAGTGGTATCAGCAATCATCCATCAATGGGATTCATTCGGACATCACAAATGGGCACTGAACCCAGTTAAGCTGAGGATGCTTTTTCAAGGTGGGGTATTGTGTGAAATACTACTTTAGCCATTAATAGCCATTAATAGGGCACCATGCTTGGTAAGCCAGTAAAGTCAGTGAAAAAATTGCAATAGTTTATCTACCTCATAAGTTAAGAGGCAGATTTAGTTTCCTTTGAAGTTAAAAATAAGAAGCACGAAGTTAAATGTAATCAGAAGATCACAGCTTGAAATATAAAGACGAACTACTGTAGAGAGACATCAAGAAAAACTATTAATGAACAAAAATCGGATAGATCACCGAAAATTTATTGGATTAAAACAACAGATGCCGTTGACGTCGTTTCTAATTATAGACAACAATCCAGATCCCCTTACCGTCACCATATCCTTCAACATGATATGTAAAGTAGTGAAGAGTCCTGTAAGAGCAGCTTCGTCTTGCATATGATCATAGTACCGGAATGCGGCCAGAATCAAATAAGCCGGAAAAGCCTTCATCAAAAGATGTGCAAGTCGAGGCTTCAGATCTAAATTTTACTTGAGAACAAAAACTTCAAGTAGGGAAAAATTGAAATGGAACCGAAGCACCACAATGGCTCCTATCAATAGAACAAACCACAAATTAATATGCGAGCGAATTCGGGAACATTGAAGACTTCCACAAGTGCTGAGTGCTCCACTCCATTCTTTGACAGCAGTTCTAGTCGAATGACTTCAGAGTTAGCTGTATTATCTGAGAAAAAAATTCATTGGATAAGAAAAGACCAAAATTTTTCAAATGCAATACAATTAGTGTACTCTAAATTAGCGAATTTGACAAAATCTGTCCAGAATAATTAGCAATAATCCGTTTCATACAAGCAATGCTTGAAAACCTTTAGCGCGCACTACAACAGTGAGCTGTAGTAAGATATTTCTATGCGCTTAGGAAGGAATACGCAAGGAAGATTGAACAGGCGGCGGGTTGCTGAAAAGCATTCCGAGTTAAGCTCTTTACTTGGATACTTGAGTACTCGGATGGTCTACCATCACTGATTGTGTGGGTCCCAGCATAAACTCCACTTTTCCGGAGATTTGCTGATTAAGCTATTGCGGTTCCCTGGAATCCCGAGGTCAGCATGAGCAAAGTCTGCTCCAGGTCGTCACCACCACAGGCTGTCTTTGGATCAGAGGGAAATTTGTGGATCAAATCACAATCTTTGTGGATCAGAGGGAAACTAGCCACCATTCGACAAGTTTGGTACTAGAACAGTGGTGGATCCTGGTGTTGGTTTACTCTTAGCTGGGTTTTCCAATGGAAACGCCGGACTCCTTTTCAGCTTTAGACACCCTGCCAGGAGGAGGAATTCTCCCGCTGAACCTCACAGCCCGACACCCAGGAACACCTGCTGGCCACGATAACGCCGTAGGGAGGTTAAGCCCTTTATGATTTTTCAAATCTTTTTTTAGAAACGGCCCACATTAAGCTCTGATCCACAACGGCAGCCACTACTTTTGGTGGCGACCACCTGGAGTAGAGTTTAGCTTGGCTGACCTCGGGACTCCAGAGAACCATAATGGTTAAACTAGCAAAACTCCAGAAAAATGGAAATTACGCTGGGATTCGCACAACCAGTGAAGACGGGTCATCCAAGTAAGTAAATATTTTTAAAATGAGGTAAAAGTAGATTTCTTCATTATAAAGGAAATAAGGATGACGGTGATCATTTACATGTGAAGCAGATCTGTAGATGAAGACGCAAAGTAAGGAAGAACGAATTCGGAAAATGACTGAATAACACATGCAGAAGTATAAAGGAAGCAAATAACAATACTTGTTTCAATGCGTGCAGCACAGAAGCAACTCAGCAAGCGTGAATACCCAGTAATTTTCCTGTTAATGTAATAAATACAAATATTCCAATAAGACAACTCGTAACACAGCTACTACGAAGACCGGCGCCGCGCCAAGTGAGGCAGTCAATTTTCAGACACATCATATTTACCGTAAACAATCTTTCCGACGTAATCGAAGTAAAAGCTTGTTTTTACTGCAGAGTATACAGCTGGAAGAATTCCTCACCAGTAATCGTCAACTGAATGCCCTTGCGGATTGCGACTAGTAAGTTTTTTCCGTGGGCAGCACTGAAGGAATAAAGAAGGATCGGACTGCTTGTTGCCTTTTACTGAGTTCCTCCCTCAAGTGATTACTTATATCTATTAAACATTTCAAGCAAATGCAGAATGTGGGCTCGTCAATCGATAATTCATCCAGGATAATACGTTTTGTTCTACAGCTAGCGTTGTCCACGAGCTGGAGCATTCTTCCGGAAGATCCGTGGTCCTATCTTTTCCCCAGTTTCATTGAGCCCCACAAGCATTGTTTCTGACCATGCGATACAATTCGAAAAACCAAAAATCATTGGCAAAACGATGGTTTGAAGGAATCACTTCTAAGCAAATGCCCAATTTTGGTCACAATCGATTCAGTGCGCGCACCACCACAGTGCAATGGAAACAGGTTTGCAGGTACTGTTTTACTCTATTGTACTTGTTTTACCAACAGGAATGGTGAAACACGGGTGAAAATGTTGTGATGACGTTGTAAGATTCCCACAGAACCGAAAATGTGCTTTAGGATAGGGTTTACACCTTGGCCAACTAGGACATACGGTATGGCGCTGATGTATAAAGCTTTAAAATAAAGCTCTCGGCATTGATCAGTCCCTGAGAGATTGTTATGGATCTTTCCAATTAATCGTTACTGTAATGCTCGAAAAAAAAATGAGTGGGTTACCGGGAGGTACTATGAGAATGATAGCAGAGGTAGGGTGTTGTATCCAAATTCACTCAACTTTTGTAGCGTTGCAGATGCAACGTATGATCGAGCGTTGTAAAGTAAGAGGGTGGATATTCTCTATTCGTCATGAATGGGTACCTACATGCTCAACAATTTTTCTAGGATTTAATCCATTTGATGACATTATTTCCCACTTTTGATTGTTTTTGTTGATTGTTTGATTGTTGATTGATTGTTTCGCCATGATGAAAACGTTGTTTTACATGTCTCCTTCTGCCAACAACAAAGAGTTTTAGCAAGAATCTTTGAGGTAAGATAAGCTTTGGGAAATGCTTAGAAACTTCGTATTGGTCCACTCACTAAACAGAACACCAGCGATGGTTTGAATGCAGTTCATTGAATTCATACAGCACAGATCTACCGGGTGTTTTCACCTTTTTAATGTCTTTCAAATGATGGACGATTACTGAATTTTTGAAGTCGACTTTCCTTACAACATCTCACGTAATTTTTGAAGAAAAAATTTGGATCATTGGCCTCAGATGGTTGTACTAATAGCTGATCATAGACTTCTCTTTCATGAACACTTACATATTCGGCGCGAAACCTTATGAACTACCTATTCCTTATGAATTCGGAAGCTCTTTCTTAGTCTAGGTTTCAATGACATTTCGAGTTGTAAGCTGCTTTATGTCCAGATTTGAACTCATGAAGAAAAACGATGCGATTTTCATGCTACCAGAGCATTATTCAAATCCGTTTAAACCGCTAAAAAACCACGTTTCAAAAAAGGGTACCGTATGATAAGTGGTTAAGCAAGACAAAAGCTTTGAAATGGTACGGAGAAAAAGTGGAAGCAAGAAGTAAAAAAGATAGTAGGATAAAGCTCTCCGCGTTGATCAATCCCTGAGGTATGCGTCATGCATTTGACTTTATTAATCGTCGCTTGGAGGTGATTAAATCCATATCTGGCCTTTACAATAACTCGCGGTGGCCTACCGGTGTATCGAGCCAGTGCCGTTATCCTTCGAGACAAGTCTGGTACCATTCCGCCGATCCCGGAGAGATGAAAGGCTTGGCGGGCCATGGGCGCAGGGATCGATTCCGCGTGTGTTGCGGGGCGCCTCTGACAACCGCGCCACAGGCGCCCTACTAGGAAGTAATTATCATAAATGAACTTGAAAATTCCATGATGACGAACTTCGTCATTAATCTTGCATTACAACGCGTGGCACATAAATTGAACGAACGGAAATGAGATCGCCATTATGGAATCTGCATTCCGCCTCTTTTACGCAATAAAAACGACAATTACTCCATCGGAAAGTGACGTGCGATGAAATTTGGACTTTATGGCCCAATTAATGTCCTCTGTAAATAGATTGCGCTGAACACCTTAAGCATTCTCCAAAACCTATTTCGGATCAAAAATTATTACGCTGATTGTTCCTTACATTTTTCAGCTTATGCGAATTTGTTATAAAACTTCTAATTGAACAATTTCGAGCAATGCTTCACTCCAGAAAATCTCAATCGATGCAATTAAGGTCATCCACATCAAAAGGATGAATGACTGTGGACAATCGACTTGGAGGGTCGCGGTTCTGTAGAAGGTGAAGACTTCGAAACGTTATATATACGACAAAATGTAAAAACCTCGTGTAAGCTGAACAATCAAAAGAAATATATCGTTTATTGATACCGAGGTTAAGTGAAGATCCGTCATGGAAAAAATAACTTTCTCATCTTTGGCAGAAAGAAACGTGTGAAACCGAGTACAACAAAGTTTTCAATCTTGCCGAAAAGATCACAATGGGGAAGTAATCTCACTGAATCGGTGGAATCTTGCAAAAATGCAGCGCATGTAAATAGACATGACCAAGAGATTCTCTTCCACGACTACGCATAACTAGGCTACAAAACCTCGCGTAACTAGGCTACAAAACCTCGCGTAACTAGGCTACAAAACCTATCTCCCATACTCATCGGAATTCCCGTTAACTTCAAGCATTCGACTAGTACCAGCTAAAAAAATCTTCAATAACCAGATCACTGCTAAAAATTCGTTTGAGTGATACACTTCCGCAGAGTTCAAAATTGTATGTTACTAGAATAAATTAACTTTTATCTTTTCCGAAAAAGCATGGACATTCAAATGGTTCTCTTGATTAATAAAACAACGTTTCAGTCTAATCAGCGATTTAGGATTCACGGTTCAAAGGCGGAATTATAATAATACAGACCCCTCATGCAAGGAATCGCAGTAATCATTTCAGCCGTGGGCTAGGTGGTTCATCTGGGAGTGGTGGACAGGAGGTATCACACTGAGCAAAACATGGGAGTCCCTGCATCTGATGCACTTCTAGACTTCATCAAAGATTGACTTTAAGATAGGAAGGACTTTACTACATGGATACCTGGAGGGGCCTGTATCCGAGAGTAATGCAAGTTCGTCTCTAATTTTCCACCGTTTCTTTTGTTCAATATTCATTGTGCTGACCTGCTCTGAATATAGCGGCGTCTGAGAGTATCACTAAGCAATCTATAAATTCCTATCGGTTGCTAATGCACTTGTTTGACATGGGCCTTAAACGTATACGCTTATATCATAGGGTACTGTCCCTAGACGTTTTTACCTCGTTGAAGACCATTATACCGTACTCATCCAGCTCAATTTCGTTCGCAGGACAGGTTTCTTAAGAAATGAAATACCCCCGATTTTTGGGTTGTTCAATCATTTTTCCCGCTTCGTTGAGGCCTACATTTGCCATAATTGTCTATGCTTCTTCCGCGTCGAGTGGCGTTTTCATCCACTGCCACGCTGCACAGATTCGGCGAGATTGTGTCGCTTAATCGGACGACTTTTCCCGCGTTAGTAAGAGACCAATGGAGCTCCATATTATTGTTGCTGTAGCACTCGGCTACAGTTGTTATGTAAGACGGATAAATTCCTCGATCTATCACTGCCGAGAGGACAGCAGACCCAGAAATCGGTAAAACTCGGAATGAGGCTCACGTTCCCGTTGGAAACAGTTTCTCAAACAGTAAGGAATCATCTAAAGCCCTTGATATTCAAGACAGGATAATCTTCGTGAAGTGCGTGTAGAAACTTGTGGAGAGCCTCAAAAACAACAAGCAGAACAGAGGCTAATCTCAGGTACACTTCGATGACCCTTGTTGGGTTCAACGAACACGCGTGAAATCCCCTTTGATTAGCTGTTCCCTCTTTTGAGGTATGAGCTGTCACATCGGTTACGAGAACTTATGTCATTCATTGTTTCTAGCTGAAAATAAAAATTTGATGTTAGGTGGTCCAGATGATGCTTAACTAAAGCAAATTCTAGAAAAAATGGCTAATCCAACCAACATTTTCTTATGAAAAAATTATTGGAGGCATAACGCATGCATTATTTAGAAGGAACATTATGTGTTTGAAGGGAAATAAAATGAACAGTAAAGCAAAATCATACAGGAGACTAACCGAGTGATAAACCAAGGTCTCCAGAATAACCTCTGAGTTGAGCTCGTGCTTCGGTCAACTCCTCCGACTGTCGGTTCAATTTCTCATTCAGAGACTACAAAACAAAAAAAAGAAAATTCCTATGAAACAGAATAATGACGTCATTAGCTAAGAAAACTACTTTAACTGGAAGAAACCAGTATAACTGGAAAACAAAAATGAAAACATAAGAACCTCAAAAAAGTTGCTCTTTTTCTGGTTATTCTGCCTTAGCGAATTACGTCACAACTGCAATTTGCAATAAATGAAATTAGTATCGAAGGCCTTCTCTTGGTGCCATTTTCACTAATTGACGAAACAGTAGATATAAAACCATTACACTTTCCTTTAACTGGATATGACTAACAGACGAAGAATGTAAAAAAAATAGAGAAGGAAAAACTCTGGCTAACTGACAAAACAATGGTGTTAAACGGAGTTACAAACTAAGCTTCGAAAATCAGAAAAAAGAAACCAAACTAGCTTTTTCTTTGCAAAACACCTTCCCTTAACACCCAAATTTTCTGCGCCAGAAACTGGTATGAGTTGATAATAGGCTAACTGGTATTCATGCGATCTTCAGCTAATATTCCTCCTCAGAAAGAAATCGTAAGTGTTAATCACTTTTTAAATGAAGACTTAGTATGATTCCACCTTTATATTCGTCTACTAACTTCCTACTCTTTGCCTAAATTTTATGAGAAAAGGAAAAAAGACGATTTTACCATATTCTCTGATGCTAACTGATGTAGACGTCCATGAACATCGCGAATTGTTTCCTCCACTGACACTTCTGACGGTCTCTGTAAGAGACTGCGATAAGGAATAAGTGAGTAAGAGTTCTGAGTAAGTAACAAATATTAAGCAGACGCTATTTAAGCTATTAATACCCTGTCCAGATTTTAACAACGATATCAGTATTGTAAGGGCCCGTGTGACACAGTGGCTTGAGACGCCCTGCAATACACATGTGATCGATCTCCACGCTCCTGGCCCACCAAGCTTTCCATCCTTCGGGGTCGGCAAATTGATACCAGACTCGCCTGGTAGTATAGCAGCACTCGCTCGATAGGCCACTGCGTGTGAATTTAAAAGTCTGATATGCATTCAATCACCTCCAACGAAGTTGAAGTCTTAATGAAGTCGAATGCATGGCGCATCACTCAGGGATTGGTCAACGCCGAGATCTTCATCTTTTTTTTATCCTTTCATCTGAATCGTTATCAAAACCACTTCGAGATAAAGCTTCAATGCATTAAGCATTATTTTTCAGCATTACATCCATCCTTGACGTCAAATGAGTCCACTGGGTGAAATAATATCGAGTACTCGAACAGGGCAGAACATTCTCAACATTTCTGAGTCATGAGAACAATTCGCTTGGAACTGCTTTCGTTGTACGAAATGTACTTTGTTGTTTCAGTTCTCTTGCGTTTTTCACTTTAGGGACTATGCCGCGCTATTTATCCGATATTGGTGTAAAAAATCTTGTCCCATATTTTTATTCTTCATTACTGAAGATAATCCGCTTAGGTTATTACACTCCGCTAATAGTCTCATCAGTACATGAGCCAACCTTGCTTGTACCACCGTTGTTGGTTGAGGTTTCGTCGTCCTCAAAATCACCATAGGTCATACAGTAGTAATCAGGTGCATTCATAATCGTATCCACCATAATTTATCGGCGTGAAAATGAGCTTTACCAACCAGATCAACAGTGTTTCATCATAAATGACCACTGAACGGATATTAGCCACGGGAAGTTTTGTAAATAATAGCGAAAAAAGCAAAACGACAGCAGCAAAACTCGACCAGAACTATCTTACGGAGGAGAGCGACAGGAATACGATTTGTCAGATGCAACAAACGTTGCAGATATGACAAAGCCAGGAATGACGGTCCGAAACGAGAACACAAGAAGCACTTTACCTCAGAGATATGCTCCCAACTGATCAAACAATGCGTATTCATTCACTGATAAGCTAACATGATATCGATTTAAAGAAGAAAATTTTATTCTACTAATGTTTGGGCGCCTAAGTCTTCTTCAGAGTTGGCCTGGTCCGAGTCGATGGTCCGGCGTTGTTCTTAATTCCTATATAGCTCTTCGTGATGGCTTCGAGACGACTTTCCTCTTAATAAAAACTTCACCAAACAGTGACAAACTTTCTTTCATAATGCGCCGAAACGTTAGCCGAATAAAAGTTTTCATGCGAACATCCGGCAAGCTCAGTCGTATAGAAGATTGCTACCAAGGTCTAATTAAAGCAGACTTTCAAGATAACCTTCTTGTTTATGGTATAGAGATAACATCGAAGAAACTAAGGAGCACAGAAATTTCCAAACTTTCAAAAGTCCTGTAACGTCGAAATTCTTTGTAGTATAGTATAGTACAGTAAGAATAATCATGAACAAACTCTGTGGATTAAGAAGACGTTTAAGCAAGACCTGTTTACACTTAGCGACAGGATAAACACCATTTTGAGAAAGAAAGAGGGAGGAGAGCTTTGAGAATCCTGAGAAAACTCGGATGAGTCAGATGGAATCCAGAACTGGTAGAAAACTTATTACTCTAGCTTTGCAAAAGTGATCTCCACATTAAACATCTTCTAATACCAAAATTTCTGGTAGAAATTCATCTCATTACTTGAACGACCTTCTGGATTATTCTCCTAGGAAAATAGCATTGATTTTCGACTGAGACCTATCCGGTAATGAGGTCAGCGTTGAGTATACCACGAATAGAGGAGCTATTAGCAAGCGGCCGAAACAAATAACCGGTTGCCAGTGTTCATATCTAATGGGTTAGTCATTTTTGTAGAAAAAAAGCACTGTAGCCTAAACCAGAGACTCAAGGTCTCGGTTTTGCTGGAACTAAATCATTCGAAATCTTGTAAATTGATCAAACACAGTCGTCGTTTGTTCACTAAAAAGTGTAGTGAAGTTTTAGAACCTAAAAGCGACGATCAATTCCGAATTCATAGAACAAGCACAGCTTAAAGTGATGTGATGATATCCTAATAACACTTGAGTATTGATCTAGTACACCCTAGTTCATGCTTGATTTTCTTTCTTTCTATTTTCTTTAAATAATTAAAGTACTTGAGGAAATGCAAATTTCAAAAAGTTATACATCTCACGCTATCGCTCTAAGGAGAAGCACCGTTTGGAAGAAGTTATCTTCAACCAAAAAGACACTGAGGCATTTGCAAAACATCAGATAGTACATGTCCGCGGTGGGGATCGGACACGCCATTATCGTTTCCGGAAGCTAACGTGTTCACCATCACACCATGCGGGTCCTTCGATTCGCCTTTCTCTCCGCTAGTTTTCTTTTTTTTAAAGCTATTTTCATTTGAAGCATCTCTCCAATTCAAATTGTACTAAAAGTTGAAAACGAAAGTCAAATCCTTGAAATTTTTCAACGCAGACGCTGAAGTCAGTCGGAGATAATGTCGCCTCTTGGACGAGATCTTCTCGTCTGTTCAGTCGCTTCGTTTTCCGGAATACCAACGTCAGTAGAAGGAAGAAAGCTGCTAAGTGTTTTGCGAGCCACAGAAATCAGAAGCTCATCTCAATATGGTACAAAGTACTTTTGTCGTAGTGGTAATGATGGGTAGGTTCCACTATAATGTTCGTATATTAAATGTTAATTTTTACTACGAAGTAAAATATTTCGTTTAAAATTGAAAAGCTAAAGCATTTTCTGAGTGATCTACGACTCAGATGGTCAAGGTGGGTATCTGGAAACAACTCCACAGTTCATTATCATGCAAGAAGAATATGTTCTCTTTCAATTCTGGACCTTCTTGAAGAACAAAGTGAGCAGAGTTCAAGATATTCAGAGTTCTTACGATAGAAAATAACCCGAGTGGCAATAGTACCCAATAAGAAGACGGTGGAAAGAAATGGCGTGCATACCGGGTGAGTGCGCTTAGGAGAGAACTGAAAATCGATAACTGGAAGGGCACACCTCATCTCCAATAGATAGAAGAGCAATAGTAACCTTACATCAATAATAGAGACATCAATAGTACTTTACTTAAGCACCGAGGAACAGAGTCCGTAGTTATAATGCACAGATGGGAAATACTTCTGCACGAGTCCAGTTAGAAATCAAAATCACAACTCGTCGACCAGTCCAGTCCGCAGTTGTTTTCCCGTTACTAGGCCCATGGGATATAAAGAAGAGAATAGAAAATCGATCGTGAAAAGAGCTTATTTGAACAAAACTTGGGAAACCCAGTAAGATAGGACTAAAGTGAAACTCCTCTGAAACCATTTTACCGAATTCTCACTTTTCTTTCTATTTTTCGTATTGGCAATACGAACAGATATGCATTCAAGTCATTCGAACGCAAACAATCCTTATAGGCAGATAAATAGAAAACAATATAAACGGCGATATTTGCCTTTGAAAAGTTTGTGAGCACACAGTATGGATTAAGTGTAGAGTAACTAGGGTCACTGGAAAACCACGGCAGCTTCAAGGTCAAGACAACGTGATAAAGGGTTAGGAGCAATTAAAGCAGAACACATCTAGACGAGAAGAAAACAGAGTCTGATTTCTTTCTATAGTTGGCAGCTATCAATCCTCTCATGAAGGGTTTGAAGGGTTCTCCATTGTAGCTACAGCATACTAGCCGATTGGAGGGTTTGGCGGGTTCTTCATCGTAAATGTGCCAGACCAGCCGGTCTGCTATGTAGCCGCTTGGATGTAAGCTAACAAAGGCAAACGACTGTAAATACTACGGTCAATCGATCCATTATTGAAGCAGCTGATCAGTACTCTGGCTTGTGGAAAGCAAATATGAAATCCGAAAACGTATTTCTGTATTCATTGTGACCTAAAGAATCCCATGCTGCGTATACAGGAAACTGATCCGATTTTCGAGTGATCGGGAAACCTTTCTTAGCGTCTATATACTTATTCTCTTTGTTTTAGCACATTTGATACAATAAAAAAATGGAATGATGAGGTCAAATGAAGATATAACGAAAAAGCAGGAAACGATAAGCAACCAAGGATGTCCCTATAGGATTCGCAAGGTAAACAAAGAACACAGTAGAAGCGAGACCTAGGTTAGTCAGCAGAAAATCGGGACCGTGACGAGTCTTGGTGCGCCTGAGAGCAATTGAAAACTGAAAGGTTTACACTGAATTGCATTACGTTGAAGAATGTACTTTCCGTAATGTTTACAGTGAGCGAAGGGCCCAGATGAAATCCCATGAATAGCAGATGAGGAGTGCCCGCAGTCGAAAGTGCCAGCTCGGTAGAGGATAGTAGAGGTGGTGAAATGGTCGGTTGACGATCAAATCCTCGGCTGAACAAGTTCCATCGAGAAGCGAAAGTCGAATTTATCACCATACATCGTTCATCTGACATATAGCTCCGATCATATCTTATAGGTAAAACTTTTAATGGCTTTCAGATAGGAGAATTCAGTGGTAATCTTCAATGATGCTGAGATATCTGCAAAACTCCGGATCGCAGATGTCTGCGGTGGGCAACAAACTCGCTATTGTCCTTTCCAGGTAGTAACGCGTTCACCACCACACCGTGCGGGTCCTTCGTTTCGCCTGTCTCTCAGCTAGTTCTATCGATCTTTGCCACAGCAATCACCCGTCAGCGGGATTAATCTGAGGAGCTCAAATCGGCAACGAACCGAGTTAAGCTGAGGCTGTAGTTATAATCACAATTTTAACATATTATTTACTGTCTACTCTTTTTAATGGCTGGGTATATTGCGAAATATAACATCAGTGATGCTGAGATATTTGCATTAAAAACAGTAGTCAGTAAATAATAGGTTAAAATTGTGATTATAACTACAGCCTCAGCTTAACTAGGTTCGTTGCCGATTTCAGTCCCCCAGATCAATCCCGCTAATGGGTGATTGCTGACGGCAGAGATCGATAAAACTAGCTGAGAGACAGGCGAAACGAAAGACCCGCATGGAGTGGTGGTGAATACGTTACTCCCCGGAAAGGACTATAGCGCGTTCGTTCCCCACCGCAGACACCAATGGTCCGGAGTTTTACAAATATCTCAGCATCATTGAAGTTATATTTCGAAATATATCCTGCCATTAAAAAGAGTAGACAGTAAACAAAAGGTTAAAATCAGTGGTAATCAACCTCTAATTTGCAGCTTTCTTGTGAAAAGAAAAGAAACCAAAGGAATAGACCTGATCCAGTCGACAATTTTCTGGTCATTCTTCGAATTTTATCAAAGGCGCATGTAATGTAACGCAGTGGTTGGAGGCGCCCTGCAATATACACGGGATCGATCCACGCGCCAAAGGCCCACCAAGCTTTTCATCCCTCCTGGTGTCGGTGAATTGGTACCAGACTTGTCTGGGAAGACGGCAGCACTGGTTCGATACATCGGTAGGCTACCGCGAGTCACTGTAAAGTCCGGATATGCATTCAATCACTCCAACGATGTTTAATGAAGTCGATTGCGTGGAGCACCCCTCAGTGATGGCTGAACGTCGAAAGCTTTATCCTTTATCTTCGAATTTTGCTGAAAGGATAATCACTCCTTTATTTCCAAAAACAGTTCAGCGATTCGAAAGGTTGCGAAGCGGAAAACTCGGGCAATGCTGAGTTTTTTGGAGCAGAACGACAAAGACCAGACTAACTATGTTTCAGGTCTGTGTGGAAAACGGTAGTTGAAGTACTGCCAAAAGGTCACAGGTTTCTGAAAGCACTTCTATCAATAACGAATTGCATGAACTATTTTTCAAAGAAATCTTCATCATAAATTCCTCTTATACCACATTTTGGAATAATTAAGTTAATGAAAATAGTCATGTTTCTTTTACATTTGAGAGATGTTATTCCATTTAGAGTACGCTCGAAGGAACTGCAAAATTATTTCGCATTGTAATTAACTGATGCGTGGACTGACATAGACCAACTTCTTTTCATGGAACTTAGTTCTCGAGAACTGTGCTTCCTCTAGGTAGAGGAAGATCACACAACATGTCATTAAATGTGTCAAATTGTCGGAGAATTCAAAAGAGGTTGCATTGGAGAGGTCGAATCTTTTTTTTGTAGTTCAGAAACATGAGGGGCGCGTATAGCGTAGTGGTTAGCGGTGCCGTGCAATACACATGGGTTCTATCTCGCCCATAGACTCATAAACCCATTTATCTTTCCAGGGTTGGCAAATTGCTACCACACCTGTCTGGGAGGATAGTAGTACTGGCTCGATACATTGGTAGGGAAATGCATAGCGCATTTCTCAGGGATTGATTAACGCCGAGGGCTCTATACTTTTTATTTTTTATCCAGAAACATGTTTGGTTCAGTTGCAGTTCTACTTGCTTTTCCTCCATCGTTAGCTAACTACATCTCGATCTTCTGCCACAGGCAAAGAATCAAAGGTTTATTAGAATCCAGAGAGGAGATAGTGAAAGGCAAGGCGGATTCGAAGATCCGACAATATAAGCAACCACTAGATTAACGACCAACAGCCGATGGAATAGTAAGGATAATTAAACATAGGGGTTGATATGTACACCGGGTTCAAACGTTCATAATTACCGGGAAATAAACTATAAAGTTCTTTTCTACGGCAAGTGCTAAATAATGAGCCTGTTTTCTATGGGAATAATAGAGACAGAGGAAACAACAACTAACGAAAAATCCACATCGGAACGAGAAACGAATTAAGCAACAACTAACGACAACAAAAGCGAATGCCATGACAAACCAAGGATTATAACCCAACAATAAACCTAGTATGATACATGCGGGGAAAAAGCTTTCTGGCAAACCAACATGTCAGCATGAGTTAGAATACTATCGTATTTCATTCATGAATGTAAGAGTCGCTGATCTAATGACCAACAAATCTTATAACAGGGATATTCATGTGCGATAGAATTCCATTACGAACCGACAAATCCGTGACTTTCTATCCAAATCATGCAATTTTACCAAACGAATATGGAACAAGTTAGATTACTGCTAAATAATCTCCACCCTCTGGTTCCCCTGTCTCAATCTCTCAATAATCTAACATCAAGAACATATTAGTTATTAGAAACCAACCACATGGTAATAATCGAGGGAGCAGCAAAAAGCATAATTTCAAACATCACTGAGAAATCGGACGGTGGACGCAAAGAGTTGCATTCAGAATGTTCTTCGCTGACCGAGGTATCCCACAAACCACACCAATCACTGCTTTCTGAATTCCCCAATGAAAAACTCGGAGAACTCACGAATGACGGCGTCGTTTCCGATAGACGTTTCTCTAGCTTCTCGATTTCCTGATTGCGATCGAAAAGTAGACGGTTCAAATTCCTAGATATTGGAGAAGGTTTAAGACAGAAAAAGATATTTTTTTCGAACAAGTTGCTAGGTGGTGGTTACTTTAGCAATCGTAAACTTTTCGTAACAGTAAAGTCTCAAAGAAGCTAAATAAATAATGAAACAACTTACTCATTTAAAGCCTTCAGTTGACGACATTGCCTTTCCAAACATAAATCTTCATCAAGATCCGAGCACCCATCATCAGAATGTCCAGCGGACCAATGCCCAGAGTCTGGTCGAGGTGAATTTCCAGCTATTAAAGAGTGCCGCTCAAATCGTGTCGTCAACATCGCACGCAATTCGGCCGATTCCTCACGTCGCCTTGAATCATTTAAGTACAGTTCTGATTAGAACAAAAAAGGACACCATGAAAATACTAATTATTCGAAAAAAAAGGAAAAAAACCGATAACCATAACGGTGCTGAAATATCTAGTAAAACTCGGAACCCCAGGCCAGCACCTAAAATGATTACCTCAGGCTTAGGTGTTCCCTTTGCACCATCGAGGCACTTGCTTTCTGCCTTTCTCTCAGCCGGTTTGTTAATCTAAAGGTGCCACCAGCTATCATCCGTCAGCGAGAATGATCTGAGAAGTACAAATCGGCATTGAACCCAGCTAGCTGTACAAATGTTAGTGTAAAAGCCTGCTTAAAGAAAGACGAAGCCAGGATCTAGGTGGCGTAACATTTAAGCATCAGCAAAAGGTAATCGAGGGTTCGAAGCCCATCTGAGGCTCCGAGTTTTACAAATATCTCATCATCGTTGTAGCTGTATTTCACGTAGCACTCTACCATGAAAACATAATCGGCAGCAAATAAAAAGTTAAATATTATAACCTCGATAAAATTTCGTTAAGGATGTAGGATCCATTTGTCCTAACAGCTTATCGTCAACCTCATTTACGTCCTTATTCAAATTTGAAACCTCGGAACAGCTATTTTGAGCAATGCCGAATGCTCAACTAAACTTAGCTCCGGTCTACGCTCAATCAACTAAACTTACAATCAATGACGAAAAACGATGAGAATAAGATTAAGAAAAGGTAAGTCAACAAGACTAAAAGTACAGCTGACCTATCATTGTCCTCGATGATACGGTCTAGAAGAAGTTTAACGTTCATATTTTCAAGACCTGCAACAGCCTTTTCTTCAACCAGACGTTCGACTTCCAGCTTCATCCGTGAATAGGCTGACTCCAGCTCCTATGTTATTCCCATTTTACTTTTAAAATAGACACCACTATGAAAAGAACATAGGTTTAAACACTGGCTTCAATGAAGTTAAACGGAGAAAATGACTGATTGTAAGATTACAACTGTTGGAATAAAACGCAGAACTCATACACAATGTCGGATAAACAAAACAAAATTTGTCTTTTTTTGGCACCATTAGTTAAACATAGAAAATGATCAGTTGAAAAGAGCCACTAGAAAATGATCTTTAAAGTAATTCTTCTTCAAAGTCCAATTCTGCGCAATATTCACCTGAAGCTTGTGTAGTTCAAATGATCGCAATGATGTCCGTTTCTCCAGAGAGTCAACCATCGAGCTCGCTTCCAACACATTACGCAAACGTTCACTCTCTCTTTGATATTGATCAGATCTTAAGAAAAGTGGTTGGCTATGACAAGAGTATAAAGGATAAAGCTCTCGGATTAGATCAATCCCTGAGGCATGCACCATGAATTCGTCTTCACTAAGCATCGTTGGAGGTGACTGAACGCATATCTTGCCTTTAAAATAACTCGTGGCCTACCGTCAGTGGTGCTATGCTCCCATACAGGTCTGACACTAATTTACCGAACCCGGAAGGATGGAGGGCTTGATGAGCCTAGGGCTCAAAGATCGATCCCGTATGCATAGCAGGGCGCCTCCGACCAGTGCGCTACACAAGCCTCTAGCTGATTATAATAGTAGAAAAAAACTTAACAATAACGAATTCGAAACGAACCTCATACGTAAATCAACTATGATCTGTTGTTGGCGTAATATCAGAGCAATTTCATCCAAATCGCCAGAGAACGTGTTCAAGGATACTGAATTGCCTTCAGGCCCAGACAAGGCAAACGAATGATGTTCTACAAATCGTTGGAAATAAAGAAAGAAAAAACATTAATCTGAAGAAAAAACCACCACCTTGATTGCTCCTCATACTACCCGACCGACTGAAATGCGGAGAAGCGAGAAGATTCGCATTCTGCAGCAACTGTTCTCGCATCAAACCCATTTCATATTCGATGACCCCACGACGCTCACTCTCTGGAATGAGGATTTGGTTAATAAAATAAAAACCGAAAAGAAACAAATTAGTGTATATAAGTGCATTAAGGCAATACCGGATGCAAGAAGAGTTCGAGTTTTCGTTAAATCGTCCTCCAACTTCGTGGTATTTCCCGTAGAAATGTCCAATCTCTCCATCAACTCGTTTATTTTTTGAGAACTCTCTGCTTTCACCTAAAAAATCCACGCTGGAGTACGACATGCATAAGACGCCGATTTAAAAAACCGAACTTGATGTCGAGGAAGAGAAGTGATAAAAGTAATACCTGCTCTAAGCTACAGTTTAGGCCGTGAATTCTTGCTCTCAGCTCACTTTTCTGTGCCTCCTTCACTTCGCACGTTGTCTTAAGACGCTCAACTTCCAAAGCTAACTCTTCAGCTCTCTGAGCAGTCAACTTCCATTCATTTCTGAAAAAGTATACGCTTCGAAAAGTTTTTTAAGGAAAGAGACTCATTGAGTTAGCGAGAAAATAGTGCAACAGCTTGAAAAAGCTTTTCTCCTTCCTACTGGGAAGCTGAGGACTCCGAGTGTCTGGCTTGACCTCACGCTTCTTCTGCCAACAAAACGGCATTTCGGCGCTACTACGTGTGAATTTGTAGAGGTACTCCACTTTCAGCAAGTGTTTATTAAGTAGCATTTGAGCGTACTGAACTGATGTACAGTGCTTAACGCATGAATTTCATACTAAACGTCATCTGACCATGCTACTGTGTCGTCGGAATCGGTGTTCTCAGCTGGTTGCTTCGTTCGATCAATGCGCGCTAGAATTCGTGGCTACTGTGAAGAAAACAGACACCGGCTCAGCCGACACTAAATCCGCATCCTAGCAAGGTGGTATAATGCTGGTGTCATTGGCGGAACATACTGTACCAAAAATTTATGTCGAGCGACCAGCGTGTAGGCAATGGGGAATACGTAACCCAAGTTTGTAGAACGACTGCGGCAGCTGAGACGCATCCGAGTGTTCCTACTATATACAGACTCTCAACCGCACGTCAGTGGCCGATTAAAATTTCGAACCAACGCACTTGAACTCATGGCTAATTTTATAAATTGAAAAGAAAACGTACAAAATCCATAAATTATTGTTATCCAAAAAAGGTTCTCTCAGTCTTTCAAGATGAAATTCCAATTTTCTGGAATCTAAGAAACGTCTTTGCTCTCAATTTTTGCTCGCTTAGGGTCATTCTTTTAACAAGAAGCCATTTAAACAATCAGAACATTAGCAGAACACCAAGCATTCCAGACTTGTCAGTGGTTTTTGTAGTTGCCGTGCCTGCATAAAAATTTTCGAAAGTTCTAGCACAGTTTTTTTTTAAATTTTTCCCTCTGTTTTTTGTCTCCTCTTTCCTTTCCTTCTCATTCCTCTCTTATTCTCTTTTTTCCGAAGAAATTAATTCTAAAGCAATCTAAAATCCGGAACGTTCTATAAGACTCATGTAAAGTCTTGATGCGTTATAGAAAAGCTACTTCTTTGAGCCTGTTAAGTGACTTAGTTCTGAACTGTTGCAGTTATCGGAAAATTACCGACAACTACCAAAAAACAAGTACCGTCACGAAAAGATTAGAAATGGTGAAAGTTTTGGATTAAATTTCACTCCAACATTGTTTATTAATCCTTTAGCAAAATCAAACCTTTCTGATTCCAACGTCGCCACTTCTGTGCGTAGTTTCTCCAACAACACTTCACTGGCCGCAAGACGTTTTCTTTCGCTTGTCTGTAAACGAAATGCATTCAAAAAGTGCAAAAAGTGACAGCTTAGTGTCAACAACATTACTCTCTACCTTCACCTAAAGGATAAAGGATAAACTTCCATAACTCACTCTCATTGACAACCCTTCACTTATATCAACAAATTCCAAGTGAATACAAGTGAAGCGCATAGATATATAAATAATTTGCTCTGAAATATAACCATAAAGACGTTGAGATATTTGCAAAACTCCGTACCGCTGGTGTCTGTGGTGAGGAACACACACGCTATTATCCTTTCCTGGAGATACCGTGTTCACCACCACACCATGCGAGTCCTTCATTTCGCCTTTCTCTTCACCGTGTTATTGACCTCTGCTTTGATCTGATTTTGAGCCCTTCGCTTTTTATGTCTACGGCTAGATAACCCAGCTAATAACTTCTTCACTACAGCAACTGTAACAAGTGAAAATAAGCCGTTCTAAATCGTATATGGAATGGCTAACTCGCTTGATTATATGCCATAGTTCACCTCTATCACCTATAGTTCCGCTGATCGCCGAGTGACTTGAGCGGGCACCAGTAAATCTTCCATTTTTCCTTGTCGCGTGCAAGAGTAGCCCAGTGGGTCGCTCTAGGGACTCAGTGAGCATCATATCTTTCTTCTAGGCGTTTCGCGAAGAACTTTGACCATCGGGTCGGTGGTCATCCTGCAGTGCATTTGACATCCCGAGGAATCCAGTCACTAACGGCTCCTGTCTATCGGTTGTCATTCATAAACATTACGTGTCCGGCTAACCTTATCTTCGACTGTTTGGCGCACAGAGCGGTATCTTTGACTTCTCATCGTTGATGCAGGTCGGAGCTTCGGATCCCTTCCCTTACTTGTGTGAAACGGGACAGTTCTACCATCGCCATTTCGACTGCTCGTTCAATAACACTAATCTTTCATCCTTCTTACGCAACGGCCAGGTTTCTGACGCATACGTTAGAACAGAAAGTACCATCGAGTCGAAAAGGTGGGCACAAAATCGGGTGTTCTTTGTCCTCTTCACTAGATCCTCGATGCTCGATTGCTCTCCGTGCCGCTTGTTTCCTTCTGCTCAACTCTGAAGCTAACTCGTTCAACATGTTGATTTCACGACTTAGACATAACTGGAGCATTCAGACACATTCGTTCCGTTGAGCGTGAATGGTGCATGCGAAACCAATCTGTTCCTCATGATCATCGTTTTTATGAAATTTAGTTCAAGACCAATCTTTCCACAGGTTCTAACAAAGTCGGGAAGCACATGTTCCGCTTGGCTAATGTTTAGTTTTATAAGGACGATGTCATCAGATAGCGAAGATGGCGTAACTGTCGACCATCGATTTTCACGCCCATATTATCCCATTCCAATGTTCGCATGACGTTCTGGAGGGCGGTGATAAATAATTTTGGCGAAATGGTGTCGCTTTGTCTAACTCCTGTTTTGACATCAATGATTGATAATATCGTTGCAAAATGGCGATATACTGACTGTGAAATTTTTGTACAGCTCACGAAGAATCTTTATGCATTGAGTAGGGACTCCTTGACTACCAAGGGGATCCATGACTGCTTCTATTTCAACTGAGTCAAAGGCCGTCTTTAAATCGATCAGAGCGAGACGGAGCGGTCTTTTGTACTCTCGCGATACTTCAATGAGCCTTATTATCGTGTGGATGTGGTCCATCGTACTAAATCCTTTTCGAAACCTTACTTACTAACATGGCTGTCTTTCGTCCACTGTTCTGTCAATTTTGTTTACGATGACTGGAGTGAAAAGTTTATAGACGACAGACAGCAAGCACATTGGGCGATAATTGCCTATACGGTGTAGGTATACCTTCCTTGAACAATAACACCCCTTGTTGGTCTTCCACTGAGTAGGGACGTTGCATTCAAACGGTATCGAAGAGATCTGAGTAGTATTCATGAATGATTTTCTCCATTGCCTTTCTGGACGCTGTAACTATTCCATCTGGGCGTTGGAGTGCATTCAACTTGGTCTCGTAACTGGCGAAGCTTCGGTGGGCTTTGCGAATGCTTTTCCCAGCCTTTGCAGCTTCGACCATTACTGCTGCTCTTCTTTCTTTAAATCAGTTCAGACGTTTCATTTCGATTTTTTTAACTCAGAAAGAAATTTTGCCATGCAACAAACTTCGATATTGTGACAGCAGCTGTAAAGAGGGAGTGAATCATTAGAAACCAAACATTCACACTTCATAAAAAACTAATGACGACAATGGTTTTATGACGAAATTATCTACCATCCATCACCTTGGCTGATAATATGGAAATGTCACGAAGATGGTATTTGTTAAACGAAAGGTTTCAATCTTCAAAAGGTTTCCTTTTCAGTCCGCTAGCGTTTTCCTGGAGTCCCGAGGTTACTCTAGCCAAAATCTGCATCAGGTCGTCACCACCACTGGCAACCGCAGCCCTTGTTGATCAGAGGGAAATTTGCCACCATACAACTAGTTTGATACCAGGACGGTGCAGCAGCTCGGTGTTGTTTTACTCTTAGCTGGACTTCCTATTGGAAGCGCCGGAGTCCTTGTCAATATGGGAGACCCTGCTGTAGGATGAATCCACCAGCTGTACATTGCAGCTCAACACCCAGGAACACCTCCTTGCCTCGATGAGGCGGTAAACCGTTGGCAGAAGTCTCCTTACTATTAATATTATTTCAAATGCTTTCGTTTTACCATTTATAACCTTCCAATAATATGCGCTACACCACTATACCTACTACTTGTACTTTCAGAAACTCCGTAGTAGAGCCTTATAGTTGGCAAGTTCAATCACTTATTTGGGCGCTACTCACGTTGAACAGTTTTACACCAGTATTCAAAAAGAAGGAACTGCCTCGCTCAATTACAGAGATGTTTCAAAATGAAACTATTACCAATCCGTCCACTTAAATGGCACGGTTGCTTAAATAATTCCAACATAAACTATTCAATTTCCATCAAGTTGCTGGTATACGGTAGGACGCAGTCAACATCTAAGATACTGGTGGTTTCAAGACTTTTTTTTTCTGGAAAGGACACAAATAATCGAACTAATTCTAAAATACTCACCTGATGGTCGAGTTTCATCTGCAAATCAATGATCTTGTTCTCAAGACCGGTGTTAAGCTTCTGTAGGTGAACCAGAGATCTCGACTCGATCTGTTAAAGAGATACACATTGTTCGGAAATTAATGCAGAATAAATTATCTCATTTTTCCCCCATGTGTTCACACAAGAATTTTATTTCGGATGCCGTCATATTACATTTTTCTCCCGCAGAGTTTATTCTACCCACTCTCCCACAGTACCATTCCACTATAATGTAAATTGTATTTTTACTAGTTCTAGGGTTAGAAACAGACGTAAAATTGCAATTTTTACTAAAAGATAAAGGATAAAGCTCCTGACGTTGATCAATCCTCGACGGATGTGCCATGTACTCGACTTCATTAAGCATCGTTAGAGGTGATTTAATGCATGCTGATCTTTACAATAACTCTCGGTGGCCTACTGATGTATCGAGCCAGTGCTGCTATCGCCCCAGAATAGTCTGGTACTAGTTTCCCAAGTCCGGAGGGATGGAAGGCTTGTTGAGTCTGGGGCGCTGGATCGATTCCAGGTGTCTCGTAGGGCGTCTCTGACCACTGCGGCAAATTTTTACTATTCTTCTTGTTCGGTCCCTGCACTTACTGCATTCGGTTCATTTTCCCGTATTCATCGCTCGCAAGGGTCTTCGGACATTTCGCTGTTTCGGCTGCTGCATGAGAACCTCATCTTTATGATCACCGTAGAGCTCGACGAACCGATCCTCGCAATCTTGGCGATACCCGAGCTAAGGCCTTCCCAAGTGGATTGGAGAAGCCTTGAGGAGGGATCGGATTAAAACCCTTGCTTCTTGATCAGCGGCATCATTAACCACTGCGCTACTCTTTTCCGTCAAAAAACTGTATTCAATGTAGCATAAGGGGCTCGAAACATTCATGAGATAATAGATCACGAAGTGTGAACGAATGAACGGTACAACATTGACTTCAAAATTTTTTCTTGCAGCGAATCCCAGCTTTAAGATGAGGCACATGGCGGAGGTCCTCCTTATACTGACAGCGATGAGTTGAGGCGTTTGTGAAATGAAGGCCGAAGCGAACACACGCGGAACTGCGACTTGCAAAAAACTCACTCCAAGCACCTCAACTGTTTCAGAGCCTCCAAAGAAAACTGGAAAGTCGAAGAAGCTCGACAAATGAATGACGTGTGAAATGAATAAGAACCAAAAAGGATCACCTCTCTGAGGGATTGCGGGAGTTTTCCTGCGCAATCAAAAAAAAAGTTTAGTTCTACAATTGCATTGCGAAGTGTAGCAAGAAATGGATAATCTAGGGCAAACGGTAACGATGCCCTCAGTGATTGGAGAGCGATGAAGCCCCACAGCACTTCGCAAAGTGGAAACTACACCAAAAGGTCATACGAACTATTTGATGATCCACAGTTGGCCAAATCCATCAGTTTCCTAAATCTCAGTGAAATGATTACAGCGACGAAGTATCGACAAAGTGCACCAGAAACTTCTAGGACCGTGCAACGCATTGTAGATCAGAAAGGTCGTGCAACCGATGGTTCAAAAATTGGGCTACGAAGCCCCCACGCATACGAAGCGTTGTACCCCACACTCGCCAGCAGGCCTCTCGCCTATCGAACTCCACTTCGTCAAGGATCACGATGAAACCCTGTACGAGAAATACTTCGGAGACCACCCGAGACCAAATTTGCCTTGAACGACATCATCGTCCTTAGAACTCCAGAGTTCTATACAACCGAAATACACAAACCTATTTCTTGTTGGCAAAAATGTGTAGATTTTAATGATTTCTATTTCCATTGATAAAATTCTTTTTAACTAAACATCGGTGGACAAATTTTAAGCAAATTTCTTAAAAGTTGTAAGAATTTGATGATTTCGAGATCTTCCAACGTTTTCCTTCACAAGAACTAAATCTCACTACTAAAAAAGATAACACTGAATACATAAGCTTTCTTCTAGGAAGTAATTGAATCTACCCTTCTTACAGGTTGCAAGCCATATTCCAAAACTATGCGCCGAAAATAGTATCTGAAAAAGTAGCGAACATGATAACTAACCGACCGCCCAAAACGTCTCGTCAAACGAAAGGGAAAAATTGAACGCACTGAGAATAAGCCTATGCCAAATTAATCAATTCATCTAAGACAAGGTTGAAAGTATAAGAAAAGATTAAAAAAAAATGACGCACTGTTTTCAAAACAGCAAACCTTCTTCGTTTTCAGAAACGAATGGAACAAACCCTCATAAATTTACAGCTGTAAAACTGCACTGAGAACGTAAAGATGCTACACCTAAGTTAATCCGTTCAGAAATCAGAGGAAATATTTAGAATTAAGAAGATGTCAGGGTTCCGAAAATTCATAGCATAGAACGTTTTAAAGCCTGCATGAACATTATTCCCGACCCGAGAGGGATGTGAAAATCAGTATCTTCATAACCAGACTGTTTTATCTTATACAACACAAAGCACGAATGGGTTACATAACGTACTAGTGAGAAAAGTACCTTGCTGTAACAATATATTCTAGAAAAAACCTTAAGTTCACGAAGACGCCTTTTCGCAAGCCATCGTCGGACGCAACATTGGACAAGCACGATTCTCTTCCGCTGTCTGATTTCCTCCCGACGGACCAAGTATCCACGCCAGTATCTTTGAATGGTGATTGCTGAGCTCTCATAGCGCATCTGAATTACGATGGAAGAAACGCTCATAAAACAATAAGGAGAAGAAACTTCCAGCTGTGCCACCAGTTGTGATAAGGTTGTACTAACCATTTTGACGAAGGCTCGAACTTTAAAGCCACGATAATGAGCTTGGATCAGCACGGCGGTATTGCGAAGTTTACGATATTGGCTTTCACAAACATAGCGACTGCAAAAAAAAGTGTAGGAATCCGAAAATGGTATGGTTACCATTAATAAAAAACGAAGTTCTAAAGGTGGAATGTGCTGAAGCAGGCTGTAAATCATATAAATCATACCGGAAACACGTCTGAATGACAATAACGGCTCGATGCATTTGCAGATAGAACAGTCGTCTGACAGCAATAAAAGCTTTAGTAGCTGCCTAGAAAAATTGTTTGACAGCAATAAAAGCTCTATTGGCCGCCTAAAAAAGAGCTGAGTTCAAATATATTCTTCTGTTTTTATTTTACATGACTCGTCATCACATCTATTGGGCGGATCCCAGCACTTCTTGCATTCAATTCTTTTTCGTTGTATTCGTCATCCACAACTTCGAGCATTTAGCGTGTTGTTCAGCTACTGCTTGAGAGTTTCGTCTTCTTCATGAATGTCGTAGAATGCTGGTCGAGTCGATTCTCCTTATAATCTTGGAGATAACCAGATTTAAACGTTCCCACGTGGATTGGAGGAGAGTTTTGAGGCGGGGAACGAACTAGCGCTTTTGCTTCCTGATCGAAGGCACTACTAACCAGTGCGCTATTCTAGCCCCAAATTCAAATATAAAATGAACAAGTTCGTGGGTAATGTCCAGAATATTTGAGTAATCGATCAAAAATCTGAGCGAAAACACAGAAGCGTGATCTAAGCGGTTTCCACCTAGATGGCTAAATAATGTGCTCGCCAATCATACTTTTCTATTAAACTGGACTAGAAAAATCAAATAACACTAAACTGCGTAAGTCAGTGGCGAAAAGACAGGGAATATCTTCAAAAACACATAAAAGGAAGAAGGATGGTTCCCAGGATCGACTTGCTATTAACCTCGGCATTGGATTAGAAAGTGGACTATATAGTATCCTCGCGATTGCTTAGGAAGAAGGTTACTTAGCATTACGAAAGAAATGAACACATGGAACAATTCGTTTTTATTTTTATACGACTCCTCTTCACATCTATTGTGCGGATACCAGCAGTTCTCACACTCGGTTCATTTCCTCAGATCCATTATCCACAAAGATCTTTCAACTTTTACGTGTGACTTCGGTTGCTGCCTGGGGATTTTCATTTCATCTTGAATGGCGTAGAATGCTGGTCGAATCGATTCTCCCTGGAGTCCTGAAAAAGCCGGGCTGGAGCGCTCCCATTTGGATTGCAGTGATTTTTTCCCTACAAGGCTGGTACCAATTTCCCGATCGTGGAGGGATGAGAGGCTTGGTTGGTCCGGAGTGGAAACGAACTAGCACTATGTTCGTGATGACCGATATCACTACCACTATGGTATCCGTATGGAACAACCGAAATATATAATAAGTTTTGAGGAAGACCTTAACCGTTATAGTATAAAGGTAAGAGAGTTTGATTTCCCGCACAGCACTACAAGAAAGAAAGGTGGCAAAAAGGCTAAAAACTAACCTGAATTGTAAGGAGGCTTCTTCTCAGAGTCAAATATTTCGCCCTCGCAACATACCGACGCCAACATGATTGTATCATTATAGCCGATGAACTTAAGATTTCAACACGGACACGTTCTAACAACGCGACTTCGCCAGTTCGAAAAAAGACTTTCGTCCTTCCAAGTGCGAATCGACCCTCCTGAAAGCACGGTACCACGTTAACGGTATCAATTAAATATGTACAATATTCTTAGGAAAGATAGCGAGACTGACTCCAAGGTGTTTATGACAAGCTCGCTCGGCGAAAATTCTCGGCTTATCACGCCACAGAGATTTACTCTCAATGTACAGGACACGGTAACGACGAGCGAATTCCTCGTACGTCCATCTAAGACATCAAAATCAAAGACGGATCATATCAAACAAAGGATTTTTAACATCGATCGATACTTCGGATAAATTCTGAACGAAAGCGACCTTGTTGGGAATCCTGCAGCAGAGATGCGAACAGTTTCCAATACTCCACAAGCTCGCAGCTGTTCTATGGCGCGTTTTGGTTCGAAATAAAACCTAAATCGGTTTATATCAACAAAAATATGTACTCAAAGTTTCCTTCCAGCTTCACTGATAGAAAAAACGGGTTTATGGGATTTAAGATCGTTATTGCCAACCAGAAATTATCAAGAGACAATCCTCAAAAGCATCGAACTTGTGGCAGTCATCACAATACGGAAAGAGACCTACTTCTCTTTGCCATCATTTGGTTTGATACAGCGCACATAGTGAGGCCGAGTGCTACAAAGCACTTTCATTAGATCACACAGAGAATCACGGAACTGCAATGGACAACTCAGTACTAGAAACAATATGGAACATAGGAATCATAAATATAGAGATTAGTAAATATATTATCTATTTGGTCACTTGGATGGCCCATCTTCACTGTTTATGCAATCCTCAGCATAAATTACATTTTTTCGGAGTTGTGCTGGCTTAGCCATTGTGGTTCCTTAGAGTATGAGGTCAGCCAGGCCAACGTCTGCCACAGGTAATCGCCGCTCTTGTGGACCAAAGGGAGATTTCCCACTATACGACTAGTTTGATTCCAGGAGAGTGGTGGATTATGGTACTGGTTTATTATTAGCTGGGCTTCCTGATTGGAACGCCGGACTCCTAAGCTTAGGAGACCATGCTGAGTGATGAATCTCACTGCTGTGCATCGCAGCCGGACACCCAGGAACTCCTCTCAGCCACGATGAGGCGATAAACCGTTGAGAGACAAACATACTATTTTAACTTATTATTTACTGCCTACTCTTTTTAACGGCAGGATATAAACTGCGAAGTATAACTTCAATGTGTATACACCTGCGGCCCGGAGTTTTGCAAATATCTCAGCATCATTGAAGTTAAACATATTATTGTTCAAGAACTCACTTGACCAGCAACGGTTTTCTTACAACTTTGCTTGCCATGTGCAGTATCTTCGAATATTGCCATTGACCCAAGAACTTCACGAAGTAGAGAAAACTATAAGGGAATCTAGAAATGTAGCAACTGCTCCATGAACGAGAGAGATCATTAGCACAATGTCTGAGCAAGTAGCACTGATAAGCTTACCCTTGTCGTTAATACCAACTCCAGCAACTGTTTACTGACAGCGTCTTTGTTTTTTTCCACAAAACCTTCAATCGAGTATGCAACCTAAAAATACCATTAAACGAAATCAAGTCACTTGCTGAAATGTACAACCTACATCTGACGCGAAATGTTTGATTATGAATCTAGAACTCTTTATACGTGGCATCTGCAGTTGGCTGTTTTTCTTCAATGTGGAACATGATGTCATTTGACTCAGCCAACCAGAATCTGATCCATTAACCACCTAGACGATTAAAAATCAGTATTAAGACATAAATAAGTCAAAAGAAATAACACACCAGTACTGATATAAATATATATAACCACAGTAGTACTTAGGTATTTGCAAAACCCCGGACCGCTGGTGTCTGCGGTGAGGACTGAACACACCGTTACCCTTTGTGGTGGCTAACGTGTTCACCACCATACCATGCGAGTCTTTCGTTTTGCCTTTCTCTCAGCCATTTTATTGCACTATAGGTGCTATCACCAATCACCCATCAATGGCATTGATTTGGGGAGCATAAATCGGCATCGAACCAAGTTATGTTAAAGCTTAAAGTCAAAAGAGTATTACAAATTTTGGGATAACACATTACCCACAGTAATAACACAAATAAGTCAGAAGAATGTCGTAAACCTTGCACTGCTCATTGAGGTAGTCAATAAGTCCCGGTCTTCCTTCTATCAGATCTATTGCCGGTTGGTTGTCGTAATAATCAATACGAACCCAAGAAAGCTCTTCACGTTCATACTCTTCTTGCTCCAGTTTGAACACATGCTGAAAGAGAATTCTCGATGCATACAACTGGATAAGAACTTGCTGTCTTCAAAAATCGATCAAACGCCAAGAAAACCCTTACTTGGTTGAACTGTTGCTGAAGTTTCTCGTTCGCGTAATTGATACAAAACTGCTCGAAGCTGTTCACAACGAAGGTCTCAAAGCTAAATTAAAACCCAGTCACAATGCTACAATGTATGTGCACACGTAAAAAAAATGAAGGATAAAGCTCTCGGCGTTGATCACTCCCTGAGGGATGCGTCATGCACTCGACTTCATTAAGCACCGTTCGGAGGTGATTGGATTCATATTTGGCCTTTACAATGACTCACGGTGGCCTACCGATGTGTCGAGCCAGTACTGCTATCTTTCCAGACAAGTCTGGCACCAATTTGTCGACCCCTGAAGGTTGGAAGGCTTGGTGGGTCTGGGACGTGGGGACCCATACCATGTGTATTTCAGGGTGCCCCCAACCACTGCGTTACACGCGCCCATCTGGGCATGTACGAGGTAAGAAATGGCACAATGTGAAGCAAACCAAACCCGTAAATATCGAGCACGCCTATGAAATTCCGCCGACGAGAAGTTCTCGTTTCCTTTTCTATCAGAGCATCGTTACAGCGTTTAACAAACCAACAGAACAGTTGTTCATAGATTAATTTGGCAAGGGCATCACGATAGCGAATAGCCTGAAGAATACATTTGGAAAACAACGTTTTCAGCAAAAAAGTGGAACAGAATAGGAATCAAAAACGCGTTGATTGAAGTCTTTGAAACAGATATGTGGAAGATACTAGTGACATAGGGCGCGCGTAGCGCAATGGTCGGAAGCGCCCTGCAATACACATGTGGTCGATCACTGCGTCCCAAACTCACCAAGCCTTCCGTCCCTCCAGGGTCGACAAATCGGTACCAGACCTGTTTGGGAGGATAGCAGCGCTGGCTCAATACATCGGTAGGTTATCGCGAGTCATTGTGAAGGCCAGTTGTGCCTTCAATCATCTCCAACGATGCCTAATGAAGTCGAATGCATGGCACATCCCTCAGAAACTGATCAACGCCGATAGCTTTGTCCTTTTTTTATCGTTCGGTAAGAGACATGCGCGACTAAGCAGGTATTTTAAAAAGCAGAGAAAAACATTTGAAACAGGAGCTTTCACGAAGAAAATCAACGGTGGGCCACAATAAATCAGAATTTTAATTTCAGACATTATACTTCCACGTGATTTCTGTGGGGTTGGTCTCTACGTGACATACTTAGTGGAAACCTCATAGAAAGCGGCTCTGAAGAAGGCGAAATCCGCCGAAACGTCAGCTTAATCGTGAACAAAGAATAGTAACACCTCGCGTTTGCTCAACAAAAATACGAAGAAAATCAGAATTTTATCACAAAAGAAAACGAAATGCTGGAACATCGGTGAAAAATGAGCGCAGATTTTTATTCCAGCTAGTAAGGCTGGCTATCCGCCTACATGTGTTTCTTGACATTGAAGGGTGCAGTTAATTTCTACTACGTTTACACTAGAATCAATTCAAACGGTCATAAATATCTTAATGAAACGAAATGACACATCAAGCAGGTTTCCTGGAAAAATAAGATTTGCGTTGGCGAGCGTATTAACAGTAACCACCATAGTGGGTAAAGGATGAAGGATAAACCCATTGGCGCCGATTTGATCAATCCGTAAAGCACGTACGACGCTTCCTACTTCCTCAAGCAGCGTGAAAGGTGAACGAATGTAAATCTGGCCACATACAATGAGCCGCGGTGGCCATCCGATGCATCGAGCCAGTGCTGCTATCCTACCAGATAGGTCTGATGTCAATTTGCCCACCCTGGTAGTGATGGAAGGCTTTGCGAGCATAGGGTGCGGGGATCGATCCCATTTGTATTGCAGGACGCCCCTAACCGCTAGGCTAAACGCACATCTGGTGGCCATAGTGTTAAAAGCAAGCTATAAAAATGGAGCACAATAAAAAAGAAACGTTATGCATACCAACAAGGCACAACCGCCAACGTGTTAACGGCAAATTAGAAAGCTATACAAAAATAGTGTGGAAAAAACATTAGTCCAACAAATAACAATTTCCGTTACGAACTGGTTTTACCTCCTTAGGTTCTAGCACCATTCTTACAATTTCTCCAGCGGCACAGATTTCTCTAGTTGTCAACCACAACCGTAACTGAGTTTCATCAATTTTGTAATCATCGCTTAACTGGGCTATCTCAGTTGCACTCACGGGCTGAAAATAACATGGTTTATATATATTCTTAAATCTAATGTAAAAAAACCGCTGACACATAAAAAAATATTAGACATTTAATCATACCGAGACCACACATTCGTTCCCATGTTCCTTGAAATCTGTATTGCCAAGAAGAAGAATACCCTTCAGTATTCGAAAGATATCCCTTTGTTTCTGTTGGTCAAATCCCAATACATCGAGCGCCTAAAGAAAACACGTTTGTTAAACGATGTGACAAATGACAGAAGTACGTTCCAACGAAACGACTGTGCTTCATGCCTTTAAAGTTTCAAGGAAATTGTCGCTGTCGTTGACGCCAGGAATTTCGTAATCACCACCCTGAGCAGTATACCAGTACACATAACTGGGACCTAAAACTTAGTGATAAGTAAATAGAAAACTGGCTGAAAGAAAGGAGAAATAAAGCACCGGCATGGTGCGGTGGTGAACGCGTTATCCCCCTGGAAAGGGTACTAATGGGATGGATCTCCACCGCAGACACCTGCAGTCCGGAGTTCTACAAATATCTTAGCACCACCGTGGTTCAATTTCGTACACCCTGCCGTGAAAAACAAAAGTAGGTAGTAAATGAAAATTCGAATTCCGAATTTCGAATTTCTACGTGACATACTTAGTGGAGACCTCATAGAAAGCGGTGAGTGTGCAAAGCCGTGTTCAAAGTGATTGAAATCTTGGTTTGGGGTTTCTTTGTTTGGTTATGGAGGCGTCTGGCCGAGTGAGTTGCTATCAACTTGACCTTTCCAGGCTCTGAAGAAGGCGAAATTCGCCGAAACGTCAGCTTAATCGTGAACAAAGAACAATAACACCTCGCGTTTGCTCAAAAAAATACGAGTAAATGAAAAGTTAAACTTAATGATAAGTCTACAAGCAACACACACGTCTTAGATAAGATTAAACTGAAGCAATCACTAGGATGGTAGGAACACGCATTGCACAGTAACTTAAGTTTTAAGTTTTAGCAGCGACAATTTGAAAGTGCATTAAATTCCTTTTGCAAGGTTATTCAATAGAGACATAAACCCTTAGTTAAGGAAAAATTTTTCAATACTCAAACTCAAAAGCTTTGAAATTCCACAACTTCAATAGAAAAGATTTCTAGGCTGCAATACTACCGCCGCTACCAACGCTTTACTACATCATCGTGGCTAGGTGTTCCGATGTGCTGTTTGCAGATATCTCAGCCTCATTATGGTCATATTTCACATAGTACCTTGCCATTAAAAAAGAGTGGGCAGTAAATAAAAACTGACGATTATTCTTAAGAATTTCCGACCACTCGCTCATAACACGTTAATATGGAAACCCATGGCATTAAAGGCAACTCCAAAGAAGGTTAGAAACGGTCAATGCCTAATAAATGAAATACTGGAGTATAAACAAATTCCGAATAATAAATACTAGACTTCCACTGCTTTATAAAGTGTTTCAGATTTTCTTCACGACTCAACCGAACACGACAGCACTTAACTTGGGAGGAAAATGAGAACTGATTAATGAACTCGAACCTTATTACCTAGTGAGAAGTCAAGAAGTAACGGGTGTTCTCGAGCTGCACACATCTGATAAAATATGTGGTAGTTGCGCTCCCGTTGAGCCTAAATAAATAGATATTAAGAAACGATTATATAAGCTGCAAATGCAAATCTACTCTCAAACACAGGAAGTAACGCTGACCCTACCTGGAAAACAAGGCGACTTTTTTCGAGCAGGTATGTCTTCATTTCTGCACCAGAAATAGTGAACTTATCACTAAAATTTATCTGGATAAACCTGCCGAAACGCGAGGAGTTGTCATTCCTAAAAACATACATACGCATATATATGTACATATATATATATCCTATACATCTTGGTTTACTTTCACATCATGGCTGGGTGGTATTCCTGGGTGTCGAGTTGCGATGTACAGCGGTGGTGTTCATCCTGAGGGCACGGTCTCCCAAGCTGAGAAGGAGTCCGGTGTTTCCATCAGGAAACCCAGCTAAGAGCAAACCAATACTAGGACCCGCCACTGTCCTAGTGTCACACTAGTCGCATGGTGGCAAACCCCCCTTTGATCCACGACGGCCTCGCTTTGATCTACAAGGGTACGCCCAAGTATATGTATATGCACACATACATGTATATATGTACATATATTCATATATACTCTTTATTTTACACCTTATTTACTTTGATACTTTGATGGCTTTTCCTTACTGGTTGTACAGGCCCCAACATAATCTCCACTTTTTCGGTGTTTTGTTGGTTTAGCAACTGTGGTTCCCTGGAACAGCCTGGCCAAAGTCTGTCCCAGGTTGCCGCCACCACGACTAGTCGACGCCGTTGTGGATCAGAGGGAGATTTGCCACCATGCGACTAGTTTCATACAAGGACGGTGGTGGATCTTAGTATTACTTTACTCTTAGCTGGGTTTTCCGATGGAAACTCTGGACTTCTCAGCTTGGGAGACCCTGCCGGCGGGGTGAATGCCTCGCTGTACATCGTAGCTCGACACCCAGGAACACCACCTAATCACAATGAGAAGGTAAACCGCCGGAAAAATATATATATATACACGTATTATTTTATTTACTCAATTTAATCTTATTTTATATGACCCGTCTTCACGTCAACTGTGCGCACCCCAGCACTCTCACCCTCTATTCGTTTCCTCGCATCCATTATCCACGAAGATCTTCCACCTTTCCGCTTTGCTTCGGTTGCTGCCTGAGGATTTTCATTTCACCTTCAATGTCGTAGAGTGCTCGTTTAGCCATTCTCTCTGGAGTCCTGAGATAGCCGGGACGGAGCGTTTCCAACTGGGTTTCAGAGTGATTTTTTTCCAGATAAGCCCGGTACCAAGTCCCCGACCCAGGAGAGATGAGGGTCTTAGTTGGCCCGGAGCGGAGTCAACTAACATCATGGTCGTGATGACGGACATCGCTACCACTGTGCTATCCGTCCCTATATATATGCATATATACATATATACATATTTATATACACACATACATATGTATATTGTACATATATATGTATAAAAAGATTTAAAGACACAGATACATACTTTACAGTCTTAGCATTGCCTATCGCTTCCATAATAGGGTTGGTGGCTAGAACACGATCTTCGACACCAGCGCTTCCTACACGATGGCCAGCAATAGAAGCAAAATATCTGAAAGGGGTAAATTACAGAAATAATAGGCCGGTAAAAAATGCATTCTACCAGTCCTAGTGCTACTGGCGCAGGTACTGGAATATTAGAATATTATGTAAGAAACATGACGGCGACGAACTTCATCACAAATTTCGCAGAAACGGTTTTGCCAGCTCCAGATTCACCACTCACAATAATCGATTGGCATTTGTTGAACTCGACCAAATCACTGTAGGCCTAAACTTGACAAATAAACACTTCAAGACAAAAAGAAGGAAGAAGGTAGTTTCCTACCTTCTCACCTCAGTTGTTTTCATCACATGGAATAAATAAATAAATAAAGAATAAAGCTCTCGGTGTGGATCAATTCCTGAGGAGTGTTTCATGCATTCGACTTCACTAAGCATCGTTGGAGGTAACTGAATGCGTATCTGGCCTTTACAATGACTCGCGGTAGGCTACCGATGAATCCAGTCGGTGCTACTATCCTCCCAGACAAGTCTAGTACCAATTTGCCGACCTCAGCAGAATGGAAAGCTTGGTGAGTGTGGGAAGCCGGGATCGATCCCATGTGTATTGCAAGGAGCCTCCAACCACTATGCTACACCCGCTTTCATAGAACAAATATCACTATTTTAAATTATATTGAAATACTTAGAAAAAACTTTAACGATATCTCTTCTGTACTCACTTCTTCAGCCACAGAATAGATATGAGGATCAAGTTCGCGTACTTGCTTACCCATACCTTTGTAGACCTAGAAAAGCTCACTGAAGGAGAGGAAAACAACTGCAGAAAATGACATACCTGTATAACCTCCTCCCCATACAAGTGAGGACATTCAGCGTAAGGGTTGATGGCTACTAAGACTATACCACAATATGTGTAGATGCATTCGCGATCTATGAATCGCACTTGTAGATTGTGGAGGACTAAAAAATAATTCCACTCAAGTTAAGCGCAAAATTTCAGTGTTTAAAAATTTAATTCTTATATCAAAATCAATAGAGCACGTGTGGCGCAGTGGTAGGATGCGCCCTGTAATACACATGGGTCGATCTCCACGTCCCAAGCTCACCAAACCTTCCATCCCTCCGGGGTCAGCAAATGGTACCAAACTTGCCTGAAAGGATAGCAGAATGGCTCGACACATCGATAGGTCACCGCGAGTTATTGTAGGGCCAGATATGCATTCAATCACCTCCGAACGATGCTTAATGAAGTCGAATGCATGGAGCATCCCTTAGGGATTGATCAATTCCGAGAGCTTTTTTTTATCGAAACCCATCAAAAACACAGATTTTACAGAAATTTGTGATAGAAGACAACGAAAGATACGTGGAAAATCGAAACAAACCGGCAGGCTCATGAAGATAAGAAAGTGCAGTGAGGTCATCCTTTCCAATTAGTATGGTTGGATTACGTAGAAATGGAAGATGATTCGGAGAAGATATCTTCAGTTCTACAACCTGAATCGCTGTTGCTTTATGTTGAAGAAGAAGTGGTAGGTGAATGTTAGAGACTAACCTCATCATCTTCTAATCGTATGCGAATTGACCGCGTTGAGAACGTGACATCATCTTCTAATTCACCGGGAACCCAAATAAGGTCAGGATGGCGGTGCCAAACTTGTGCACCTTTCTAAGATTGACATGAAATATTCGTTGCACGACGAATAAGAAAACTGGGAAAGATTTCCTCTGCACAGTGAACCTCTATTTATACAGCTTCTTAAGGAGTTATGTTTTTAAGTGATGACAATTTTTAGGGGGTCCTCCCACATGCACATTAATTTGACAATCTGTTACATCGTTCGTGTGTGGTGCAGTGGTTAAAAGAGCCCTGCGATACGCATGGGATTGATTCCAGCGCCCTACGCGCGCCTGGCCGTTGATCACTCCGGGGCCGGCAAATTAGCTCGAAAAATCGGTAGACCACCGCGAGTTATTGTAAAGGGAAGATATGCATTCAATCACTTCCAACGGTGTTAATGACTTCAAATGTATGGTGTATCTCTCAGGGATTTCCCAACGCCGAGAGCTTCACCCTCTATCCCCTACCCTGTATTACTTCGTCCTGTTTACGTTGTAGTGACGAAGTAATCGGCTACCATTATATATAACGATAGAAAGTAGTCCTCACTGATACTATTGCCATAGGCTAAGGCGGAATAGGTTTTATTCCTTTGCATCTCTTGAATTAAAGAGAATTGAATGTAGTACACAATATTAGGGAACGTATAGCACAGTGGCTAGAAGTGCCGTGCAATACACACACGGTCAGTGGTTCGATTCCACCTCCGGGGCTTAATCAAGTCCGAAAAGAATGGCACTAAGTACAGAAGTTAAAAACAAAGTTCCGAGAACTGTAAGTCCCTCAAAAACTAAGCTCCAGCTACCGCAATTCCATCTTATCTACTTGATACATATTAGAGACAATTCCTGTCTGTATAAACCTTCACCCGAGGCTATTAGACGTTAAGCAAACCGATAAGCATCTAGTCCAGCTATCTCAAAACGGCAGATTACTAGATAATCAGCTCGCAATGATGTGTAGAGGCTTACGTAATGTATTTCCGTGAGAACTTACATGAATCTTTGTATAGTCCGTCTTCAGTGGTTGCACTTGCCCCAGCACTGTTTCCCTTTTTCTTGGAGTTCTGCCGGTCTAGCCATTGTGGTTCCCTGGAGTCCCGAGATCAGCCTGGCCAGTCTGCCCCAGGCCGTCACCTCCACAGGCAGTCACCGGCCTTTGTGGCTCAGAGGGAGGGGGATTTGCCACCACGTGCTGGTTTACTCTTAGCTGGGCTTCCTGACGAAAACGCTGGACTTCTTCTCAGCTTAGGAAACTGTGCTGGGTGGGGGGAGGGGGGGGGGGGGGGGGGGGGGGGGGGGGGTGAATTCCCTGCTGTACATCGCAGCCCGATACTTAGGAACACCTCCCAACCACGATGAGGCGGTAAACAGCTGGGAGGCACATGAAAACAGCATATATGTATTTCAACTTATTATTTACTGGCTACTCCTTTTAGTGGCAGGGTATATGGCGAAATATAACTTATATGATGCTGAGGTATTTGCAAAACACCGAACCGCAGGTGTCTGCGGCGGCGAACGAACGCTAAGCGAAGTGTGGTGGTGAACGCGTTACTCCGCGGAAAGGACAATAGCGCGTTCTCTCAGCACCATTGAAGTATAAATGTAGGTATATATATATACATATATACGCTGCGTAACAGGACGGATAGCACAGAGGTAGTGATGTCCGTCATCACGAGCATGGTGTTAGTTTGATTCCACTCCGGGCCAACTCGCGAACTTGGTCCCGAAGTTGTCTGAGAAAAAATCACTCTCTGCAATCCAATTGGGAACGGTCCAGCCCGGCTCTGTCAAAACTCCAAAGGGATTTGCTCGACTAGCACTCTACGGAATTTAAGATGAAATGAAAGCCCTCAAGAAGCAACCGAAGCGACACGTAAAGTCGGAAGATCCTCGTAGACAATGGATGCGAGGAAATGAATCGAATGTGGGAAACGCTGGGATCCGCACAGTAGATGTCAAAACGGGTTATATAAAATGAAAAAATATACTATGTAAATGGAAGGGATATGCAAAATCTTGAGCCTCGAAGTGTTACCATTTACTCCTTTTCAAGAAAATTCCCTGGGTGATAAAGCAAGATGAACATTGAACTAAACATGCGACGGGAAAAATTTGGAACATGAACTTATTTGTTGTGGAAGGCTGACCTAAAATGTAAGTACAGATTGAAAAAAACTTTGAGTATCATCTTTAATTTCACACCAAAACATCATAGAATTTCAATTATCCTTGACGAACCTTGTAATTCTCAAGTGAGATGTGATTTCGACCGAGTGTTCCAGCTCCGTTCTCCATCATCGTTCCTCAACACCGCTATGCCGGATGGGACATACTCTCTGAAAAAAAGTGAGGGTTCCTTAAGCAGAAAAAAAAACGGCCCAAAAAGATCAATATAAACACAGGAACTCAACTTTATGGATCATGAATAAAAGTACTACAAACTTCGATTCTACCTCGAGATCTTGTCAAACAGCTATTTGCATTAAAATGGATGTGAAAAACAGTCGGTATTCAGGGATCTTTTGAGCAATAGAATAAGAATGAGTTCCATAAAGAATGAAAAAGCTCTCGGCGTTGATCGATCCCTGAGGGATGCGCCATGCATTAGATTTCACAAAGTACCGTTTGGAGGTGATTGAATGCACATCTGGCCTCTATAATGACCCGCGGTGGCCAACCGATGTATCGAGCTAGTGCTGCAGTGCTGCTATCCTCCCAGACAAGTCTTGTACGAATTTGCCGACAATGTTGGGATGGAAGGCTAGGTGGGCCATGGACACCATGACCGATTCCACGTATGTGTTGCAGGGCGCCTCCGACCACTGCGCCACACGCTCCTTAAAAATGGATCCCATGCAATCGATAAATTGATGTGTTTCTCATTTCTCTTGACACGCAACCCATAAAATGCTCTTGTGTTATTCGACACTCCTGAATAAGACCATTAATGAAAACGATTACATTACGTCCCGCCGTCATTGAACAATACGACCGACATAACTATTGTATGAATATGTTTGTCATTCTATCCAGATATTTTTTAGAAAACTGGTATATCCACATTTTTGCGAAAAAGAGCTTTCATGAACTATGACATAAAGACAGGATAAAAGACAGAAAGAGAGCGCGTGTAGCTCAATGGTCGGAAGCGGCCTGGAATACGCATGGAAACGCTCTCTCACTTTAGGCTCACCAAGCCCTCCATTCTTCCAGGGTCGGCAAATTGATAACAGACTTTTCTAGGAGGATAGAAGCACTGGCTCGATACATCGTTAGACTACCGCGAGTCATTGCAAAGGTCAGAAATGCATTCAATCACCTTCGAGGATGCTTAATGAAGTCTAATGCATGGCGCATCCCTCAGGGATTGATCAACGCTGACAGCTTTACCCTTTTATCTTTTTTTATGACAAAAAAAACCCACTAAAGCATTGCTTAAGGTGCTTAATTATTACGTAAACACCAAGTTGACGCAATGACTTGTAGTCGATTCTGATAGTCGTAGAAATACTATTCAATACTAGTGATTGAATCAATGCTAAAAATAGTCATTGTTTTCCTAGGAAAGTGATGACCCACAACTGAGGCCGACCGTCTGGGCTGATGACTGGAGAAAGCTACGTATAAAAATAATTCCGTATTTTTCTATGATAAAGACTACCCTTTTCACAATAATACATCTTAGTTTCAATGCGCATCTCTAGTACGCTTGAATAACATGCCGTTCGATTGGTCAGCCACGCCAAAATGTCCAAGATAGTGAAAGAGTTAGATAACTAAAACTGCTTCTTTTCCAATATTTTCACGTAGACATATTACTTCTTGATCACATAACACCCACAGACAACCTCTTGTAGTCAATCGATGGCTTGTCGAACATAGATTTTATAATCTTAACCTTTTTATTTAGTGCCTATTCTTTTTAACGGCAAGGTATTTGCGAAATATAACTACTGTAATGCTGAGATATTTGCAAAGCTCCAGACCGCAGGTGTCTGTGGTGGGGAACGAACGCGCTACTGTCCTTTCCAGAGAGTAACGCAATTTGGGCTCCCCAGGTCAAACCCGTTGACCGGTGATTGTTGATGGCAAAAGATCGATAGAACTCGCTGAGAGACAGGCGAAACGAAGAACCTGCATGGTGTGATGGTGAACGCGTTACTCCCCGTAAAGGACAATAGCGCGTTCGTTCCCCACCGCAGACACCTGCGGTCCGGAGTTTTACAAATATCTCAGCATTACAAATTTTATACTTTGGTTGGTCCATGGATAGGTATTCTCAGCTATAGGTGCAAAAAGCCGTTTCAGACCATGGAAGTAAATCGGTGGGTATAAAAACATGAAAGAAACAGAAATATACAGACAGAAATACACCTCAATTATCACACAAAACCATGTGGAAAACTGGTAGTATCATGGTTAGGTAATGGACTAATTTCTTTCTCATCACAAGCAAAAGGTGTTCCAAAACAGAGAAACGTACACATAAGAACACAGTGGATATACGGAAGTTAGAGAGACCCGGAAAAAATGTGCAGCAATCGAAGCCACTATCGCGGGCTTACGAACCGGACCGTACGTCTTCATTTCAATGCAAATCCTACACAGCCCATGAAACGATTAATACTTAGACTCTCGTGCTTAAAACCTGTTACTCACGCATTTATTCGATGCGTCATTTCTCCACGATGGGAGGCTATAGTAATTCATGCCGGTCGATTTCACCTGCTTTCATCTGAAAATGACCACGTCTCCTTTGCTGCACTCTTCGCTCTTTGACCGGTTAGGAAAAGTACATGGAAAAACCTTTTTGTGGGAAAATAAACGATCGCAAAGAGAATAAATTTCAGAAATAAGGGGGTTGCGTACAAAGATGCTGAATTTCTTCCCAATTCCGGAGACCTGCCGATGGAATGAACATTTCCCAGTACACCCAGAGTTCGACAACCGAAAACACTACGCAGCAACGCAGCAATAAAGCACTGGGGTGGAGTATGCCTTTTTGACACGTAACATCCAAGACATATGTCGAATGTTATGTGTTGAAATGCATGCATTGACGAGGAGCAAAGTGGTCGAACTGCAAGCACCCACTGCACCTATTTCTCTATAGTTTACTTTTCCGCAGAGCATTTTTTTAAACTAAACCTCTCGTATTCAATCGATAGCTTATCCATCAGAAATGATGTGTTAGACGTGGCCTATAAAAACCTGTTCTCTATACTTAAAAACTTACACTAAACTGTTTATCGGGGCCAGTTCTCTACGCGGGAATATAGTTGTAGTGTAGATACGTACTTTAGAGTGACCTCAATTTGTGCTTTCATGAATGTGTTTTCGTACAATACAATGATGCTGAGATATGAGCAAAACTCGGAACTCCAATTGAGCTTCGAACCCGCCACTAGTCTTTCCGGAGGCTCACGTGTTATCCACTGAACCACAGAAGCCTTCGTTCTGCCTTTCTCTCGAAAAGATAATAGGAGTTAAACACTATCATTTCGACTGCAGCATCAGTTTAACGTAGTTCAGCGCCGATTTTCTGACTTCAGAACCACTCCCATTGACGGCTGATAGCATCGTTAGGGTAAAAGACTGCCTGAGAGAAAACGAACGCAAGGGCCCCATTTATCTAATTTCAATTTTAACTGGGTTCATTGCCGATTTGTACACCACATGGTTGATCCTATTGACGAATATTGCGTGCAGCAACTTAAGGAGTGTGAAGGAAAGAGGTTGGTTTTCGTTACTAAGAAAGGGCTCCAACTTCCAGAATCTGATGAAGAAAATAAAGGAGAAATGCCACGAAGATAAGGAGACTAAGACGTACAAGCCGACGCTGAAAATCAACAATGTCAATCAAGAACAGGAATATCCTGCACCAAGGGAGACCATTGTCGTGGAAATTCAGTCTAAGAGTCCCCATCCGCAAAGTCAGCAAAGCACCATATTACCAACTGGAGAAATTGCAGTGGTGAACACAACTACAGAGTAATATTCTGAAGGTCAACCGCAAAAACCTCGTGAAGTGTCTTAAGCTTTTCGAGGAAACCGCAGAGGAAAAGGATAGCTTCAAGAAGTTCTATGAGCAGTTTGGATAGAACATCACACCAGAAATCCATGAAGACTCGATGAACCACAAAAAGATGGCTGAGTTCCTTCGCTACTACTCGTCTCCTCTATGGACGAGCCAACCTCTTTGAAGGACTACGTGTCACGCATGAATGATAACCATACGCAGATCTATTATATCACTGGAGAGTCCAAAGATGCGGTAGCTAATTCCGCATTCGTTAAGCGCGTTCGTAATCTGGATTCGAAGTCTTGTACAATTCAGTTATCAGTTCGTTATCGGAAAAATGGAGGCTTGTCAGCATGTTCAAACCTGCCGGTAACCTTGTCATGAGTTGAGATGCAAGAGAAGTAATGGAACTTTGACAAACCACCAGCCATGGATATCTAGAGATTCCTATCTTGAAACAGAAACCAATGAATCTCTCTATCTTGTCAACCTTTTCCGGTTCCCACAACACAACTTCTGCACTCCATATCTGTACAAATGGATAGTGGACTTGGTTGGGAAAAATTCTCTCGGATCCATAAAAGCTGAAGACCTCACGTGATTAAAACCTTTCATCGCTCTATTAAAGCTATCACAGAATTCCATGGAAATCATGTCCATCCGTGTTCGACAACATTCGTTAAGAATAGGAATTCCTCAGCGAGCAGCCGAAACCTACACGTAAATTCAAAGACCTTCGCGCATGACTGTTGCGAGGCAACGAATCGAATAAAAAAATTCTGAGATCAGTAAAAATAGGAAAGTCGATCTATACAGAATAAAAAAGTACAACTAAGTAAAAGTAGAAACAAAGCAAAAAAGGAGGAAATATATTAGCGAAACTGAAAGACCACTGCAGCTTCGTATAAAAGAATACTCCACCAGGGGCGCATAGGACACAGACAAAACGGAGAGGATTTTGAAGATGTTACTTACTTCTCACAGCAATCGAGAACTTAGAAGCGCAAAATCCATGAAGCGTTACGGATAAATAGCAAGGATCCAAGAAAAAACCGCGTGGAGGAATGCCCCGTTACCACACATGATCTCATACAGTACCTAAGAATGATTTTGTAATGCGTGAGAGGCACATTATGTGAACTCTGCGCGGCTGGCCTCCACGTGAAATAGTCACTGCAGGACTCACAGAAGATAGTGAATGTGCTAACAAGCTACTTTGCTTTCAATGCGATTTAAATCTCGACTTAGTGATTCTTCTGTTTTCGTTACGTTGCAACGGTTTACCGCCTCATCGTGGCTAGGAGGTGTTCCTGGGTGTCGGGCTGCGATATACAGCAGGGGGATTCACGCTCTACCCTTTCAGCAGGGTCTCCTAGGCCGAAAAAGAGTCGGGGTTTCCATGAGGAAGCCCAACTAAGAGCAAACCAGTACGTTGTGGCAAATCTCCCTCTGAGCCACAAAGGCCGGTGACTGCCTGTGGTGGTGACGACCTGGGGCAGACTTTGGCCAGGCTAACCTCGGGATTCCAAGAAACCACAATGGCTTAACCAGCAAATCTCCGAAAAATATAGATTATGCTGGGGCCCGCACAACCACTGAAGGCAGCCCATCCAAGCATTCAAGTATCTGCTTTGCTTATGGAGGTGCTAAGCTGGGTAGACTGTGGTCCTCTTAACCTTCCCAGGCCTTGAAAAAGGCTTAGTCCACCGAATCGTCAACTTTTGTGAATAAATAGTGCAGAAACAACCCCACATATGGTTTTCAAGAAAACAGCGAATTGGACCTGCCAGTTCACTGCATAAAGCAAAAGTTCTCGATAGACATTCGGGTTGATCCTCTTCCAAATGCGTAAACAAAGAAGTTAGATCGAACTACACTGCGTACAGCAAACAGGATTCCGCTGTTCGTAAACTTGGATAGAATGCATACACCACGTAAAATAAATTAAAGTCTACTTAGAGGGATGCTAAGGAATCCTTGTTTAAGTGCAACCTACATTGCCACTGAGGCTCTCTAAAACATTTGTGCCGACGACTAAGACCATATCAGTTACATAATTCTTGGTTTTCAGACAACAGGCGATGATTTTTCGTTAACTAGAACCCTTGAGGAGTTGAGAGCACTACGGAGTTACAAAAGAACCGTTGCTTTTCGATCCAGAGGTATACATGTTATTACTTAGTACAAGGTTGCTCGGAAACTACTGTCTGGTCTGTGATTTCATTTTTCTCGTATATATTTTAGTAAAAGGGAGCGTATGGTTCAGTGGTCGGAGGTACCCTGCAACACACACGTGGAATCGATCTCGCCACCATGGCCCGCCAAGCCTTCCATCCATCCGAGGTCGGAGAATTGGTGCCGGGGTTGTCTGGGAGGATAGCAGCACTGGCTCGACACATCGGTAGGCCACTGCGAGTCATTATGAAGGCCAGATGTGCATTCAATCACCTCCAAACGATGCTTAATGAAGTCGAGTGCATGGCGCATCCCTCACGGATTGATAAATGGCGAGAGCTTTGTCATTTATTCTTTATTTATATTTTAGCAACAGTTTTTTCATCAAATTTTCATTCTAAGGCTTACTTTATGCATTTCCGCTCCATGAGTTATGTTATAAGCTGTGCTTTTGACAAATTTTAGAGGCTAGGATTTCGGATGTTCAATAGCATTTTCGACAAATCTAATACCGCAAGTCCAAACAGACGAAGTGTAGCCCTACGGCTCGAAACACGGAAGAGCCATGGGCCCAAGGGAGTATAAACGAACGCACAGTGCAACTTTGGTTTCGAAAATTTAGTTGTGGCGAATTCGACCGTCAAGCTGAGTATGGTCAAAGATAGATTTGATGGAAGCAAATCCGTGCAAGACTCTTCGAAAACTTGCAGAAGAACTTGGTATTAGCATCTCAACTGTTTGTGAACATAAAAAATTTGGTGGGAGAAGTTCGACAAATGGATGTCGGAAACGACCATCGAAGAAATATCCGTTACGAAGCATCGTCGCTTCTTCTGCGCAACCAGAACGATCAGTTTCGTGAAAGTATTGTGGCGTGCACGAGAAGTGGATCCTCTGTGATGATCTACTCAGCGGTTTGACCAAAACCGTCCACAGCACTTTCTAAAGCCGTATTCGAATCAAACGAAGGTCATACTGAATGTTTCATGGTCTACAGTTGGCTTGATCCATCGCAGTTTCGTGGATCTGAGTAAAATGATTACACCAACGGGGTATGTTTAGCAAATCGAAGAGGTGCATCAGAAGCTTCAACGACTGTTCACCGCAATGGTGAACAGAAAGCGACTAATCCTTCTCCACGATACCGCCCGACAACATGTTGTACAACGGACGCGGTAAAAGTTGAACGACCTAGGCTATGAAACCCTATATTTTCCACCATGCTTTCCAAGTCTCTCGCATACAGACTACTACTTCTTCAAACATCTTGATTATTTCCTAAGCGAGAAATACTTAAGAAACCACTCCATGCACATTCTGCCTTTACTCACTTCATCGCCTTCAGAGCTCCGGATTTGGATGCAACCGCATAATATAATCTTAATTCCCGTTGGAAATAAGTGAAGATTCCAAAGGTTTATATTGTCGATTAATAAAGTCTCTTCTGAGCTGAGAGATGCCACTTTGAAAAAATAGGTTGAAATCGGACATTAATTTTGAATCTACAGTACTTTCATATAGGTTAATTCCATACGATAACCATCATTCATCGCAAAGATTTAAATTGAAATAATACTCCAATTCCATTTAGATCGCTGCTCAATGACGTCGTCCAAAAATAGACTCTTTGTAGGCTATTAACTGTAGAGAATAGGCTTTTATTGGCCACGTCTGACACATCTGTATTCGCTAGGCTGACGAATGAATGCGAGAAGTGAATGAGAATGCCCCGTGTGATAAAATGAGCAACTGAAAAGAAAGTGCATCATATATGATGCATTCGGGCAGTTTGTCCCTAAATCTGAAATATATATGGTGCACATCGGCACCAATAGGTTAAAACACAGGACGAGGCGACTTTTCCCTTACATTTTTTACTTGGTTACTTTTCCTACTTAACCTAGTAATCTGAAAAAGAAACATATTCTTTCGAAGATTTCTATCTGGAGGCCAATCTTGGTGCAGCACACTGCATCCACTACTAGGGCGCTACATAGTGAAGAGTCAATATGAAGAAATTACACAAAGGAAAATTACTGGCTAGTAAAACGCCTGCATCGACACACGATTTTAATGTTTACGTCACCCAGTCATGTATGAACATTCTGACCAGGAACGGAACTGTTAACGAAGAGATTTTTCTGAAATTTCTTTTAAAGTATGACAACCACGTAGAAGTCCGACATTGCTCTTACTGAAGAAATAGCCTGACGGATTTCTTCTAAAAAAACTTCACGTTACAGCCGAGTGAACACAAGGGAAAGACCATATAACCGTAGCAAGTAGCCTATATATTATTACCAAAAATCTGTGATCAAAATGAACGGCTAAATTAGTCAAAAAACCAAAAAAAACTGCTTTATGAAAAATCGATTTTATGAAACTGATGACCTTATCAATGAGAGGATAAGTATTGATTAGTCATGTCGAGGTTAAAGGAAGGTTTTTGAAGTTTAATCGTACTGTACTTTTCACAGTAGCAAATACGAACAGTGCTATAAAAATTGCAGAGTAGTAGAATAAAAGATCAAATAAATTGAGATACACCGAAAAACGACCGAACAAACACGTCATGTTAGCAAAAGACATTGATTGTGATCGGATGGAACACAAAGAAATCCAGACTCCTCAATTGGAATTGAACCCTAAATAGGGGATACGTCAACCCAACACGAGTGAAACTATAGAGAAGGTCCAAATGGGCAAACAGAGATGAGAGAAATTTCACATTCGTTCGTTGTTTATCTGGCGAAATGAATCACTTTTGAAAATGTCGTTAAAACGACTATGGTCGATGC